TTGATGAAAAAGTACTAGGTAACTAAGAAACGACGATAAACATAAAAAATAAAGTGTAAAGTCAGGATTACCAGGAGTACCAAGACCTGAGTCTCCAAATATTTTTCTAAATGGTTGTTTCTCCAACTAAATAAATAAACTTCAAAGTCAAGATCAGATTTTTAAAATAAAATCTCCTGTTTTGAGATGATGCTCCTGCAATAAGAGATTAGTTCATTTTAACACTGTTAGATGTTAAACTTTATAAGAGGTGCAAGCGAATTCGGGTTTTTTTTATTTTTGTGTTAAATACAAAAATAACATAAGTTGTCTTTCTTAAACTGGAATCAATTAAAACACCAAATATGTTATTATTCACATCCAACAACTGGTTTAGTCTCATTTTGATGACCTGTTTTCAAGCAGAATAGAGAATAATAAATAACTAACATTCAAATTATATTTTAAATAGATGTTTTGTGGTTGTTGAATTAGCATAAACATTTTTAAAATTTATTGAATCGAAACTAAATTAAACCATGTTATGAAAGCCACCAGAAGAGGGCAGAGAAAACCAAATAATAACTGAACACTGTCCTCTCTTTTCACCTTCTCTTATGTTTACATTTTTGTTTAACCTGCAAACATTTCCCTTCTCACATGTTTTTCGTTGCAGCATCCACGAGGACGAGGATCTGAGCCCAGAGCAGAAGGCCGAGCGCGAGCGAGAGCGGAGGATGGCCAACAACGCCAGAGAGCGTCTGCGTGTGCGGGACATCAACGAGGCCTTCAAGGAGCTGGGACACATGTGTCAGCTGCACCTGAAGAGCGAGAAACCGCAGACCAAACTTCTGGTTCTGCACCAGGCCGTGGCCGTGATCCTTAGTCTGGAGCAGCAGGTCAGAGGTCAGTGCAACAGCGGAGCGAGAATGTGCCATTAGTGATTGGGGGTCTCTGAGAGACCAGACGGAAATGGTCTTAAAGCCAACATAAAATATATTTTAAATTATATTACTTCATTTTTTAAAATATAGCAATGACATTGAATTAAATCTTTATAGATTTTCAGATATAGTAATGCACTTGATTAATTTTGTTCGATCATGGAGTGCCATAGGTTTATTAAGTTTCCTGAAATTATTTTTAAGCATTATTTTATAGGTGCAATATCACAGCTTCTTTTTAAATAACTATTTTTGTACACAGTGTATAGTTTTTATCTATTTTACATTTATACTGTCTTTCATTGTGAGTTGTAAATTGCCATTTGATATTTAGCCCTTTGCTGCTGTGATCCATGTATTTCCCCTTGGCTAGCATGAATTGTCCTATATCTATATACCGACCTATCTAGCTAGCTTCATTGCTATCAAGCTATCTATCTAGTTACTTCGGTAACTAGATATCTATCAATCTTGCTATCAATCTATCAAGCTATGTAGTTAGCTTGATCACAAGCTATCTATATGGCTATGTAGCTCGCCAGTTAAGTAGCTAGGAAGATATTTGTCTTTCTAGAGCTAATTGGACTTTTTGACTTTGATAACTTTTGACTTTAGGTTCAATATCTCCATTTTTAAATGTACTGTTTTTGTAACCATTAAAATATTTCCGTTCTGCAGAGAGAAACCTGAACCCAAAGGCTGCATGTCTTCGGAGAAGAGAAGAAGAGAAGGCATCCAGCATCATGTCGGATCCACAGTCTGTACATCTCGCTTTCCATCCGAGCCTGACGGACCCGTCGAACCCCATGGGTCACCTCTGAGCACCTGTTACAGACAACTCAAAGTTTCACTTAAAGCATTTCATTCATTTACATCAACGATCAGTTTAAATCACTTTACAAACTGATGCATCGGCTTTCAAAAGTGTTCCTGCTCTTTGAACTTTTCACACATTTTGTCACATTACATCCATAGGCTGTGATGTGTTTTACTTAAATTTTGTTGTAGTTGTGATTTGGAGGGAAGATAGCAGTTTTAAATATTTTCTACAGATAAAAATTAGTATTCAGCCCCCGTTGGTCAGTAAAATCTTTTCGGCACAACAAAAGACAAAACTTTTTCTCCATTCTTTTTTGCAAAATAGTTCAAGGAAATTGGAGCCTTTATAAAAGCATAGCAGACTTTTCAAATTCTTGTTTGTGAAAAATAATATAATCCACTACTTGTGTTGCTCGATATCAAGAAAATCCCAATTAGCAACGTTATTGTTTGTTACTGTAACATGACAAAATGTAGAGGAGTTTCAGGAAGGATGAACATTTTTGCAAGGCACTGTAAATGCATGATATTTGATTAGCAGCCAACACTTTGTGATAAACTTTCACAATACGATTAAATGATTTGTAATTGCTGCGTTTTGGACGAATCGGTTCAAATTGGTCCAGAACAGCTCCCTGATCAGAAAGTGTGATGCAATCGAACAATCATTTCTTCTCTTCCCAAACAGACTTTTTTAACTTTGTGCCTAAACATGACTCGTATCAGACAAATGCATTGTAAGCTGCAGGTGTTTTGTACATATTTTTGTAGTTTTATTGCTAATATTTGTGTTGCAGTACATCAGAATGAACTGGAGAGTTTCGTGTGCCGTCTAAAATTGGCAAACAGGTTTTTAGTCATATTTTCACAAAGCTTGGTGGGCAGACTGTCACGTTTTGGTTTTAGGGAACATATTTAATTTTTCCTGTGGGCTTTGTGTGAACGTGTGTGTGAGTATGTGTGTGTAAATACTGCAGGGGTTTGAACATTCTGTGAATGAACAGATCTCCAGGAATGTTCTTTTTAATCTCACATGGACATTAAACCTGGTCTGTAATTGTGTTTTTATATTTCTTTAATGCACTGCTAAAAGGATTTTACTTTCTGTGTAAAATAATTCTCCTTCTTGTAATTATTGCTCTTCAGATGTAGTCAAACAAACCCTATGCATGTGGAAGTTTGGAACTTAAAACACATTTTTAAGTTATAAGTTATCTTTTATACAAATATTGTGAACTTTATCATATGTCTTAATATGCTTTTAGTTATTATTTTAATCATGAAGCCTGTTTTCGGTGCAGTTTCACTAGCTGTACCTAAATTTAACGCTCTGAGCAATACAGTGTTAAAAACAAACTATGTTCACTCAAGACCAAAATAATCTGAAACACTTATAACATGTGCAGTATGTGTACAGTTTGAGTTCCAGGCATGTGTTGATATGAAAATGTAGCAATAAATGTCTTTCTAAAAATGCTTTTCCTCTCTTATGTTCCAGTATTTCAAAGTTTGAACACATAGTAAAGTCATCTGCATAGAGTATGATATTGAAGTTACTTAGAATCCATAGTCATTTTCAAAACAAATGTTGTGAAGGAAGTTACTCAACACACACTTTGCAAAAAAAATGCTTTATTCAAAGCTTGATTTGAATATTTTTATCCACCCCAGAGGCCTGACGAAGATAAATGTAAAGAAATTAGACAGTTGTGTTCACTGTCTTCTACTCATTAAGTCAAATAAATTTATCCGATTTTGAACCTAAATGTGAGTTTGTGAAAGATAAACTTACAGTAAGTTGTGTTCACTTTTATTAATTCAGTCAAACCTCCAAGAGTTGAATAAACTGGAGTTTTGAGGTTAGCACTTAAAAAACTGACAGAAGAGAAAGACAGGAGTGGGAACTATTTCCCAGAATGCTTAGCGGCATGTTTTTGTCTCCTGAGATAGAAGTGCGTCACATTGATCTGACTCTTGTGTTTTATTAAGGCAAATGTTCATTTTAATGCAATTCTCAGTTAGCAAAGCTTGAGGATAATGTCCTGTTCACACTAAATGTTTCTGAGCTGAATTCATTGGGATGTTTAATACAATTCATTATCAGATCAGAAATTTTGTTTCTTCAGTTTGAAACGAGTTTAAATTATTATAAAGTAAAATAAGTATTTATTTTAACTTGATATTGTGAGTAAAATAACAGAGAAATGTGGCTCTTTAACTCAGTGAGGGCAGATTCTTAGTTAAAACTCACAATTCAAGATTAATGAAGTTAAAAACAATGTTTAGAAGCTTGTCTCTTATTGTTAAATCAACTTCATAAACTTTAATTTCTAAATTAAAACCAAAACAATTTTCTTGTTGACTTAAAGTACATTTTCAAGGCAGAAGGACTTTTATTTTCAACTTAAACCACCTACAGTGTATAAAATATTAATACAAATAACTGTAATTTCAACAACTTGTTTACAATAATGATTATTATTATTTGAAACATGCAAATTAATAAATAAATTATTCCTCATTACTGTTGTTTTTATGTACATTTTTGTCTGTATTTGCCATGTAAAAAATACAGCCTCATCATTCATCAGAGTGGAACATTAAGTGAAATTCAACAATACATTCACAAGGCAACAGGAAAGCATGTGTATGGAGGAGGGTTAGAGCTGCTACGAAAAAAAGCTTCTGACTTTAATCTCTGAATTCAGAGAAAAATTATGAAATTAAAATCAGAATTCTTTCTTTTTTCCAAATTCTGAGAAAAATTCTGAAATTAAAATCAGAATTCTTACTTTTTTCCAAATTCTGAGAAAAATTCTGAAATTAAAATCAGAATTCAGAGGAAAAAAATGTCAGAATTCTGAGAATGAATTCTTTTTTTCCCAGTGGCTCTAATCTTCCGTAGATGTGAGCAAAATGCACGAGGGTTGGTGGGTTTTTCAAAATAAAGGAAGACAGAAAAAAAAAAAAGTCGTGTCAACATCTGGAGAATTGGGAGGAAATCCAGAACAACTGCCCAAATAAATAAATAAATAAATAAAAAAATAATGAAGAAAGAGAATATTAATTTTTTTAAAAAGCATTGAATATTAATCCGGAAAAAAGCCTCTTTTTTCTTTATAACTATTCCAAACCCTCAGCGCTGTTTCCACCATGATGTCAGCGCATGCATGCGCACCGCTGCAGCTCACTCTGCGGCGGTGTGACGTCAGCAACGGTCATATGATGAGGAACCGCGCGGAGTGACCGCCTCTCTGAGCGGGACTCCGGGATCCAGTCCGGGCGGAGGCAGAGCAGCCGGATCGCTTCGAGGCGAAGGAGGAGGAGGAGGAGGAAGGGGAGGAAGACCTACCGCTCCTAAAACCGGACACACACACGCACACACAACACACACACACGGTAAGTTTCTGATCGACTTTAAGATCTCCCACTGTTTTATCCCGTTACTTTACTCAAGAGTTAAAGTTTGAAGTCTGAAAGTTTAGACTGAGCAGAAACAGAACCAGAACCAGAACCTCACACGCCTTATGGATGATTTCCTTTCACATGCTCCCTGTTGCCAAAATGTCCACCAGCAAGAAAAAATAATGCGAAAAAAGTCTTAAATTTATATTTTTCCACCAGTGGAACTACTTTAACATGTCAGTTTGAAGGCTTTATGATCTTGTTATTACAGAGATCCTTTGTTTGCTCTTAGCCCACAAATTTTACATCAGTTTAAGAGATCAGACTGACTGTTTTCCAAGTTATTAATCTGATGTTCTGAGTGTAGATAGAACAGTTAATGCTACATAGATCAGAATGTGCTGTAATTTCTCTTAATCTGATCATTTATAGTTTGCAAATGTTTTTTTATGCTATCTTTTGAGTTTATTAACAATAAAGTAAAGTTTATTCTCTGTCAGAGAATGTTTGGATGAAGTTGTTCCAGGAGAAAAAGAGAAAACTGAACTGGTTAAAATTGTAATGTCCAAGTCAGACGCAAAAGAAAGAAAAACTGGTGTCGTTCAACTTTATTTATGAGAAAGGAAACTCGGATGACTTCATGATCAAATGCGCAATCGATACACTGAAAGCATCTCAAAGTTGGCACTTCAGTTCAAAAGTATTTTATTTAATCAAAAAAAAAAATAACTAAATAAACAAATGAAATGACACCAATCTTTTCCCTTCCAGCTTCACATCGCATGATTTTAATCCTTTTATATGTCGTTTGTTGCCTAATATGAACACAGATGGGTTTTGAGAAGCTCAGCAACACAAAACAAATGAAATAACAAAAATAACGTTAAGCCAGGCAACAAAACCTCAGTTTACAATCACCTGTTTCTTCTTATCATTGCTTGGTTTTTCAGATCATAATTATTATTTTCATCTGGGGAGAACTTAACAGTCTAACGATGGATGTAAAATCAAGCCTAAAGAAAACGTTTTCCAGGTTTACATTAAATTCCAAGGGAGCAAATAACCATTTTACCTCAAACCTGTAGGTGAAGCTACATTTTAAATCTGTGTGTGATTTTTTTTTTTTTTTTGGTGTTACTTTCACTAAACTAACTAAAAAAGTGATCTTTTTTACCTTCATCAAAGTTTTTATCTTTTGCTTCTATTCTACATAGCTAATATACTTCACTTCCTGGAATGTATGCTTCACTTCTTGTCCAGTTTTCAGTGATTTTAGAGTTTTTATTTCTCGGGTATTTAGCTCATTTTCTTTGAGGCGTGTTTTTTCTGTCAGCTTTCATGACCTTTATTATGCCCTCAGATGGACGATTCATCGCCTTTATGTCTCTTTCCACTCAGTTCAGCTGCAAATGCAAAACGTATTCACACTCCATTTTATCACTTTAAAACCTCAAAGTCTATTGTGTTTCATTGATAAACACAAAGTAGTTTATAATTGTAAGGAGGGATTAAAAATACAAAACAAGAAAATGAGGTGTGCTGTTTTTTTCTAGCCCCTTTTACTCTGATATCTCTAAATAAAATCATAAGTAATTAGTGGCCAAGTGGAGTAAACAGCCTCAAAAAAGGCCGTGTACTGAAAGAACAACATAGTCAAAACGGTCCCACAAAATTTATATGCTTTGCATATAAATTCATCCTAATTTAACTTAATTCCACTTATATAATCTTAACATAAATATCTGTCATTTACTTAATTTATCTTATCATAATTCAACTTAGCTTATCTTAACTTATATATTCTTAAGGTGCTTTATCTAATGTTAGATAAGTTCTAACTTATCATAATTTAACTTATCTAATCTTAACATGCATATCTTTTATTGACTTAATTTATCTTATCCTAATTCAATTGATCTAATTATAGATAAATTATACATAACATATGTTAATTTATCATAATTTAAGTCAAATTGTCTTAAATATACATAACATATATTATCTTATCTTATGCTAATTTAACTTAGCTTAACTTGACAAACCCTAACTAATTTTAACATACATAAGTTTACTTATCTAATTGTAATTTAACTTAGCATACGTTATTGTCTGATCTTAACATGCATAACATGCCTTACCTTAATTTATCTTAACTTAATTTTAATAAGTTATTATTTTTCTAAACATACCTTATTGAATCTTAACGTACATATATTATCTTATATTAACTTAACTTATATCTTATTTTATCTTAAGTTATATAAATTTGGCAATGTGTCTTGTGTATTTTAGGATTTTCTCTAACTAGTTTCCAAGGAGAAATTTATCTTAATGAAGTTTTTCCACTTGATCTTCCTCCCTTAAGCTGCTTTTAGGTCTTCCTTTAGGCGTGAATTGTGCAGAATGAGGCTCTTGAGACGATGCAATATTGTTTGCAGCACAACGCCTCCTCTGTTCGAGTGTTTCTGCCTCATAGTGGCGCGTTTGTGGACAAACATACTCCCGAAGCGTTATCCCATGAAGTGGGTGACGACACCCGTCGCAGTCGTCATGCAGCCGGTTCATCTGCAGCTGTACAATAGTTGTCCTGTCATTAGCGCACACAGAAGGGGGCTGTTTTTATTGCGCTGTAATATCATCCTCTCAGTGCACATTCATTCTGCCGGGTGCAGCTGGAGAGGAGCGCCCAGCATGTCTGCCTCTGTGCACACCGGGGCTCTGTTTTGTAAACAGCTTGCTTCGCTGTACCAGCCTGATGCATCAGTTTTCAAACCGCTCTCCCATACAATGCCAGCCTCCGTCTGACATGCGATGTTATTCCAGCAGGTTAGGCAGCGGCGGGATGGAGTCTCACAGACTCAGCGGCTCCACGGAGGTCCAGATGCAGAGAGGCTACGTGCTGCAGCACCGCCCGGCAGCAGCCGACAGCCAGGAGAACCTGTTTGGAGTGAGAGTGCAGGTTCAGGGATTCAAAGGCCAGCCTTACGTGGTTCTGAACAGTTCTGGTCAGGAGATCCACAAGGACGTGTCTGTCATTACCCACCAGGCGGGTTACCACCCCGGGGTGGTGAGAAGGTCTGCGGATGAGACGCAGCGGAGGCCAAACTCTTCTTCTGGGTTTAATTATCAGAGTCAGTCTGAGATCCTGAGGCTGTATGACCCAGAAAATAACCAAAGCATCTCCAGCTCCCGACACACATCGCTTTCTGCTGAGCGTCCCAAACCCAGGATCCCACTGCCTGCCGAAGGCCCTGCAGACGACCCGGCGGATCTCTACCACGACCTCACATCCTCCTCAGAGGGACACAGCGCTCCGCTGTCCCCAAACGCAGTGGACACCGACTCCATCATGTCTGTCGGCAGATTAATAAGCCAGTTCAACAGCAGCCTGCAGAGGGGACGAGGTCCGAGAAACAGGCTGGACAAAGAGGCGTGTCGACGCTCCCGCAGCGTCGACAGCAGCCGCACCTCCAGCTCCTCTTCCTCGTCGCCTTCAGCCAGCAGAGCGTCTTCCCTTAAGGGCAGCAGAGGAGAAACCCCAGCTGGGGTTTATCCCCCTGGATCAGCCAGGGCGCGCCTCCTCGGCGGAGAATCCGCTCGGACAAACAGAGTCGAGGAGAACAAGCCGAGCAAGGGACAGCAAGGGAGAGAGACGGCAGTGCTGTCCAAACCGCCGGACAAAAGAGACACACAGGTAAAGAGGTTGTCAGGGAGCTACGTAGTTTCTTAGAAGTCAGTATTTATTGGGTGTATGTTCCCTAACCAGGTTACTCCTGATCTTCTGAAAGGACAGCAAGAGCTCTCAGCAGATCCGCCTGAAGAAGCAACAGAGCAAATACTCTTTACATGTCTGAAGAATGGGTGAGTGCAGCACAGGTCCACGCTCTCACAACAGATCAGAGGGTGATTTGCTTTAAAAATGTGTGCAAAATGGAAATTATAGGGCTCGATTTAATTTATCATATTATTAATTGATTGTTGCAGCAAGAAGAAACCTCAATTCTTTATTTCAATTGAAGAAATGTTCTGGAACGACACAAGGACATGCAGCTTTGAGACACAAACTCTGAGGAGGATAAAATACCCCAAAATTTTACTCAAGAAAGAATACTTCAATATGTTTTTACTCAAGTAAATGTAGAAAGTACCCATCCAAGAAATCACTCAAATAAGAGTAAAACAGTATTTAGCTAAGAAGTCTACTCAAGTACTGAGTAATGAATCAAATTAGCAATCATTTAATATTTAAAAAGTACAAGTAGAGATACTTCATAATAAAATTACTCAAGTAAAAGTAAAAAGTACAGTGTAGTAAAAATACTTAAGTTAATATAACGGAGTAAATATAACAAGTTACTTCCTATTCTGCACAAACCAGAAGCAGCAAAACGTACAGAGCTTCGCAAATGTATTCATAGCTCTTTAACTTTTTACATTTTGCAATTATTCACTTCTTTGTGTTGCACCATTATATTAAATTCCAGTAAAATATATTAAAGCTTGAAAGATGTAAAACAAAAGCTTTAGTTTTTATTATTACTTGAGCAAGGTGCAGAACCGCGCCTCTAAAGTACACTAACAACAAGGTAAATGTTTCTGTTTTAAGGGTGCTGGAAAAAACAAAGAGCTGTTCTGGATTATTTCTTGTGAACTTGTGCAAGATTTCTGTTGTCAAACTGGTTAAGCTTCTGTTTGCCCAAGTTTAGCTCATAAATCGAGGTTTTGTACATAGCAACTAACAACTGAGACCCCAAACTTCATGTAAAAATTTATACATTCTAGTAAAAATAAAGCTTTTATGTGAAGAGGGCTGGAGTCACTAAAAAAAACGATTAATTTTGAGAATTAAATAAGATTATTTCATTGACCCAAATAATCTTTTGTATCAGAAATTAATTATTTGATCTTTTTGTCTATTAAATATTTATGTAAGTGGCATAAACGGTATAAATAAGTGTTTTTTTACACCTCTGTTCTTCCTCAGACTTAATTTGTAGACACCAATTTGTTACAAGAAACACCAAACCCTTTATGCCACAACTCAATATCAGAGTTCAAAAATATTAATACTGATCTACAGATTAATAATTTTGCTTGTAAAGAAATTAAATTCCCCCCCCCCCAATGGAAATGTGTTTTGGAAACTTTTCCACCATCGTTTAGTGATGATGACTTAGTGGTTTCACAGCTATGTTCCTGCAGGAATCTGGCTGCTGTTCCAGCTGTGTGAACTCAAACTCCCAGTAGTCAGGAATGCAAAGCATGACCACGGCTTCACTGATAAAATAACTTCTTCTTCTGGAAAATATTAAACATCCACCAGTTCCTGCTTCGTACCAGGGAAGAAAAACACATTCAAGCAGAACTCCTGCTCTCCTCTGGAAGCTGGCAGCGAATTTGAAACTTTATCTTTTCAAACAAAAAGTTCCTGCAACTGCAGAGTTTCAGGACTGTGCGTCCTGTTTTTCCAGGACCGCAGATGATGACCCCACAACCCAAAGAAAAGTCAAACTGCTGCTCGACAACATCAGCGAACTCAAGTCCAAGGCTGCGGAGAGTGTGGAAGAGGAGGAGGAGGCGAGAGTGAGATGTTTACCAACATGGGGCTGCAGGATTTATGGCGGCGACGTTGTGTTAATTTGATTTTTGTTTCTCTGCAGGCCTCTGCAGCAGGAATAAAAATGCTGCAGGAGAAACAGGCAGCTCTGGAGAAAGAAGTTGCACATCTCAAGCAAAAACTTGGCATTGAGATTAAGGTGCAGATCAATCCATCACGTTTCTGTGTTTCTGTAGTTATGTTGTCTTCAGTGCTTTTTTTATTGAATTTACAGAATGAAATGACTTTAGCCAAAGCTTTTGAGAAAGCGAGGACGGAGAAGAAGAAACTTCAAGAAGAGTTGAACAAAAGTCAGACGGAGCTTCGCAAACTGAGAGAGAAGCTGACGGAAATCGAGGCAGAGCTTCAGACCACCAAGCAGGAGTAAGGATCCAACAAAGTTTAAAGCTTTTGTTTGCTTTTAAATTATTTATTCAAACTTATCTTATAATGTAGTTTCTTATATAGCAACGTCCACCTGGTCATTAAGCCTGTATTAATACTTTGGGACATTTAAATAGACAGTTTGAACTGTGAAAAAAAAAAAAAAATTTCCTAAAATGCCAACATTTTATTGACTTTTTCTACATTTTGTCACATTATTGAGTTTTTATGTGACAGGAAAACAGAAATTACTTTATAATTGTAAAGTGGAAGTAGTGAGAGGTTTTTATCAATGTAAATCTGAATAATGTGATATGTTGATACATTTTTTATGGTTTGTTTTTGAATTTTTAATTTTTAGATGTTTGTTCAGAGCGTACAGGGCAGCCATCTTTCTTTTGTTACAGTTTCTACTTATTTGGATTTTGAATTCATAACAACTCTACAATAGGATGCTAAGAACAGGCTAAGAATTTTTATTTAATTTTATTTTTATATGAAATTAAATTCATATTATTACAGAAATTCAGTTATGACAGAAGAATAAAGTGCAAATTTTATAAAAATTGTAAAGCAGTACTTAGTATTTTATTTAACACAGAATCAAATTATTATAAATAGCAGGATTTTAAAACACTCATGAAAGTAACTAATTCAAAGTAAAAATTTCAAGAACTGAGCTGGTCAGATTCTGATAAGACTTATTTTTTTTCTTCCAATATTCAGACAAAAAAAAATGTCATAGCCATCGTACAACTGGCAGAAGGATCATTAAAAATCAAAGCCACTTTTCGTAAACATTGTGTACAATTTATGTTTAGAAAATAAAGTAACCAAATAATAAAATAAATTGATGAAAATCAAAAATTGCATGCAACAAAATCAGGATCTCGATTTGACATTAATGAGAGAAACAACCAGGTAATTTTGGAGGAACAAAAACAAACAAGAACAAAGCAAAGATCTGACACATGCAATCTACTGAAGTTTGTGAAAACGTGGAAAAGTTCAAAAGGTGCAGCACACTGTATGAAAGTAAAACCCTTCCTCTGTGTTTGTCGATTCTTTAGACTGACTCAGATGAAGACAGAAAGAGAAAGAGCTAAAGCGGAGATGAAAGACCTCCAGCAACAACTCTCCGAGATGCACGACGAGTTGGACCGCGCCAAGAAGACCGACGCGATAAATACGGAGAAAGAGATTCTTCTTCAGGTGAGCTGCTGGACCACATGAGCTAGGAACTGGTTTCCCCACTGACCTCTGACCTCTTTTTTAATGACGGGTGTGTGTCAGGACTTGGCGCAGCTGCGCATGGACTTTCAGGAGATGCTGCAGGTGAAAGAGGAGCAGGAGGAGGTGCTGCAGCACCGGGAGACGGAGCTGAGTGCCCTGAAGGGGGCGCTCAAAGAGGAGGTGGAGACTCATGATAAATACGTCGCTGCTCTGAAAGAAGAATATGAACTGGAGCTCGAGAAGCTGCTGGTTGACTTGCAGCAAGCAAAGGAGGTGAGAGAAACTTTCTCTAAGGTACAACTGTAATGTACGGAGGCCCCTAAGGGACATGGGAAATTTTTCTTTTCTTTTCATTACTTAATTTTTGTTCCTGAAATATTACAACTTTATTCTTGAGATATTATGACTTTTTTGTGTATTATTTATATTTTATTTTCATAAAATTATGATTTTATTCTTGTAATATTATAACTTTATTCTTGTATAATTCAGACTTATTTTCATATGACTTTCTCCAAAAATAGTATGACTTTATTCTCAAAATGTTACAACTTTATCCTCATAACATTTGGACTTTATTCTTCTTGTAGAATGATTTCATTATTGAAATATTATGACTATTTTTGTATTAGTTAGACTTTATTTTCATGCAACTCTGTCCTTATAATATTATATTATTCTCAAAATATATATTATTACATAATATATATATTATATATATTATTATAATATGAGATATATATTATTACATAGACTGTATTTTTGTATGATCTTCTTGCAAAATATTATGACACTCTTCTCATACAAATGTATGAGATGTTTATTTTCTTAAAATTATGACTTTATAGTCATAATTTCATTTTATAGTATATTTTTTCTTAGTATGGTCCTAATACTCTGACGTATGCTATGGGGGTTCCATAATAATTAGATTTATTTTAGCTTTATTTTTTATTTTGCCTTCCAGAGCAACGCCTACTTGGGTCAGGAAGTGGCTCATGTGGAGGAGGAGAAAGGTGCAGCTAAGGTGCAGCTGAAGGAACTGATCCAGGAGAGAGACAACCTGAAAGGAAAAGTCCGAGAGCTGAGCAACAAGGTGGAGCAGCTGAATCAGGCCGTCCAGGAGTTTAAAACCACGGAGAGGATGATGGAGCAGAGAACGAAGCAGCTGGAGGTGAGAAGATGAGAAACCAGAAACAGGTGTTTCTAGATTATCTTAATCTCACTTCCTGTTTCCCCTCCTCCCTCAGAGGGAAAAGAACCAGGTGGAGGAAATGCTGGAGGATGTGAGGAGGAGCGAGGAAGAGCTGTGTCAGTCCAACCAGTCTCTGCTTTCCCGCTTGGAAGATGTGCAGGTAATAACTGACTTAGAAAGCGATTAATTGCTAAGTGGAAGACTCTCAAAAAAAGGTAATTTGCTGACAGAACAACATACTCAGAGCAGCAATTAAGCCAAAATTGTGAAAAAAAAGAAATATCCTCAGATAAAAAATAAAAACTATTTTAACTTCACCTGGTTCAAACAAATCTCTTGTTTGCATCTTTTTCTATTATTTCTTTAATCGGTTAATCCAAAAATTAGTGAACAGATTAGCCCTAAACTGGGTTGATATTAGGTGGAAAAGAAATGGTTGTCTCTCAGTTAGAAGTATTTTTATCTCATTTAAAAAAGGAATTGAATCATTTTTGCATCTTTTAATGTGTTTTTAAACAATGACCAATATGCTTTTCAATCAATTAGCCATCAAATAACTGATAGATTAATCGATAACTAAAATAATTAATAGACGCGAGTCGAGTCACAACTTCAGATATTAATGTGTTGGATAACTACATAAAAACCCCAACAAATGCAATATTGACAAGCTGAAGCGATCTGACAGTAAATATGATAATCAGTGAAATCTAGATTTCAAATTGTGATCCGTGAACTCTCATCTGTTCCTGCTTCAGAGTAAGCTAACCAAGTTAAACCATGAGCACAAGGATTTAAAGGAAAAGCTCAAAGAAGAGAGGAAGCAAGTTGAAGAGCTGTGGAAAATCAAAGCAGAGCTGGAAGACGAGAGGAGGATGCAGGACAGGGGGATGGAGCAACTGCAGAGGAAGGTGAGAGGGACGAAGTTCTCTGCTTTTGGAAATATGGGAACAGAAATACGCATGAAGTCACATGGGGTCAGCAGATCATTTATGTGCTCACGAAAGTCCAAATATCTTTAAATTGAGGTGAGTGGTGTGCTTATCTGGCTGCTTAGATGAACACCATCATTGAGGAGTGCGAGGCGTCCACAGATGTGCTTCAGCACCAGGTCGACGAGGCCAGAGAGAGGAGTCAGAGGGAGCTGACCGAGCTGCGCAGACAGCTGCAGGAAAAGGGAGCAGAGCTGGAGAAATCCAGACAGGCAGCCAAAAAACTGCAGGAAGAGGTGTGGCAAGCATTGTGCAGCATTCAGGAATATGTCTTAGTCAGCAGGATGATGAGTCAAAGGCAGGGCGGAGAGATTAAACTTATCTTGTTTCAGGTTTTTGATGAGAAAAAATGACTCAGTTTGAGTTTATCTTGTCTGATCCCACCCAAAAAGAAATTAAAAGTTTGATTGTTTTTCCTTTGGCTGCTGGTCTGCTCTCCGGCCAGCTGCTTCCTCTGGAGGAGGATCTGCGGAGGTGTCACAGGGAGCAGCAGGAGGCCCAGCTGAGAGGCCGGCAGCTGGAGCAGCGGGTGGAGGAGCTGGAGCAGAAGAATGCAGCCGTGTTGGAGGACCGGGAGCGCCAGGCTAAACTCATGGAGGTAGAATTTTCACAAATGAAGAGCAGCAATAGCACAGACACAGATAAAGCATTACAGTGTCATAATCTGTTTGTCAAGTTACTTGGTAATAGTAATTAGTTACTTTACTGATCACTTAATGTAGTTACAACTTTGTCTACGTTCACACTGCAGCCTGAAGCGACCCATTTCCGATTTATTTATTTTTCTTGCCTTAATGGCGTCTTTTATTCGATCTTTTTATTACATTTTGAAAGCACAGATCAGATTTCTTTTTCAAATGCGGGTCAGGCGACTTGAATTTGTAGCTCTAAATCTGATCTTTTCGAACGTGACCTGAGTGTGACGTCACTGACACCCGACAAACGTCACTATTCTGCGCCCTGATACGAGCAAGCGACAAGAAAAACAACAACCATGGCGGACGATAATGAGGATTAAATTGTTAATGTGCTGCTTTAAAAATGTAAGATATGCTCCGCCATTAGCATCCATGTTTACTTCCGCAAACACTGAGCACTTCTTCTTCTACTACTTTTTCTTTTTTTTTTTATTGAAACACTACTGCGCCCTCTACTGCCCATGCGGGACACTTTCGGGTCATTTGCAGGTTATGAAGTTCTTATTTATGTGCTTTGATTTGTGTCTGTTTTAGTATACCTTATTGTTCATTTCCAAATGTTTTTCCACTCCAGCCTCCTCACCAACAGCCTTGGTAAACATTGGCAGCAACTCAGCACCGTTTGTTCTGCTGGTGACAAAACATAACATTTGAGTGTTGACGCTGCCTATCAGCTCAGGAGCCTGGTGTTTACAGTGAAAAGTCATCAGACCTGTCCGGGCGTTTTTAGGGATCCTCCTACCTCCTCATCCCTGCCTTCACCGCTCAAACACTCCCTGCAAAAGGAAAAAAAGACAAGAAATTAAGAAAACTAACTTACAAGTGACTTTTCATCAAGATAGAGGAGCTTTTTTTATTTACAACAATACTATTTTCCTATATTATAAGTTAAATAATCTGCTGGGGGAACTGGAACTTTTCATCAATATTAAGGAATTAGTTGCTTAAAACAAGCTTTTTTATCTTGCTGAAAAGTTATTTGTAAGTTAGTTTTGTTTTAATTCAAGGATACTAAAATATTTGCTAGATAAAACCATCCATGATTGACATTGAAGTGGGAAATTTCTGTTTCGTTCCAAAGTGACATTCGAGTACAGTTTTATTTTACAGTTTCATTTTTAACTATCTGCAGTTTATCCAGATTTTGACCAAACAACAAAAACTAGTTACTCATCATAACTAGAACATGAGGAAATTCTAGATATGTGGGACTCATTTTCTCCTTTCCAGAGATAGAAATTTTATTTGATTTTATTTTATGCATTTGTTGTACCTTAAATTGTACCGATGTTTCTGCTCACTCAGTCTCTGCTTTCTCTAATATGATTCCTAATTTTTGAAGGATTTGCTGAATAAAAAGCACTTTGTGCTGTTTCTTTTTCTCTCAGGACCGAACCAGGCGGCTGGAGGAAGATCTTAACGATGAGCGCAGCGGTTCAGATCGCCTGATGGAGCGATTAGACAAAACTAAAGAACAGGCAGGTTTACGTTTTCAGCATTTTCTCTTTGGTAACGTATATAAATGTCCTTATTTTATCTTTTAGGCGTCACTATATGCTGCCTGTCTGCAGTACAAGGTCCCAGCTCCACATCTGTTTTCATTATAAACAGATGCAGTTCTCAGATTTCCCCTCTAAAACAATGGGAACAGGCGATTCGTGTGACCGGCGTGGCTGTTTTCTCTAAGCTGGGTTTCAGGGCATTGTGACGCAATTTATGATGTTTTTGCAAAAGATTCACATCTTCAGCCTGCCTGTAAAGTGGGCCATGATGTTTCTGGAGCTAAATGCTGCAAACTAATTAACACACAAGTCTATTTTGGGGTGGAGCGTAAAAACCAACCCAAAAAAACAAAAAAAACAACAGCTAACCACTGTGAGAAGCTATTCACACTCCCTTCAGTGGGCCTCTGGATGTTATTAGTGATGAGTTTGATGTTCCTCCTGGAACCAGACCAGATTTACTCTCCAGTGTCTCCTGTCTTGTAATAACAAATGACTGCGTTTTCTATCAGTATTGAAGTTAAATGCAAACAAGGCACAGTTTCATATTACATATCATGGCTGGAAATAATAATTACTGTTGTCCTTTATAACTGCAAGCCGGCTTGTTTTCATTTTGATCTATTCTGTCGGGACTTTCTGTAACAGAGGAACATAAAAGTGTCTATTTTAACTTGGAACATTGCTGGTAGAACATAGCTTGATTTAAAAATAATTATACTTCTTTATAGAGCTTAATGAGTTGGTAGGGAAACAGTAAATCTTACAAGCTGAAATTGTGATTAAGAGACTGATTATAAAATATTTTTTTCTGCACAAAGACACAAAAGTGCAGTGAAAAACTGTTTGCCCTTTTGCAGACTTGTGGTCTTTCGGAAGACCACATTTTCCTGCAGGATCTTCTGACAGAGAGCAGAACGCAGGACGCTGCGTATGAAAACTAAAAATGATGTCTCTTCTGTTTGTTTGTGGCAGATGGATCAGATGAGGAATGAACTGCTGCAGGAACGAGCTGCCAGGCAGGACGTGGAGTGTGACAAGATGAGCCTGGAGAGACAGGTCAATGGAGTCGTCACACTGCAACACTCATCAGAGTTACCGTGCAGCAAGACCTAAACCAGTGGTGTCCAAATTATTTTCCCTGAGGGAGACAACGTTGGCAAATTTGAACTACTTTTTTACATTAAAAATGAAAAAAATAGTTTCTTTTGATTTTTTAAATTTTTATTTAGCCAACAATCATACTTTTTTATAACTGTATATCACTATATCCATAACATTAGGAAATAAACAATTTCCATTTTTGATGTAATAAGTTATTTTATATTTTAACATTTTTACCATTCTTGACTTATAAAATCACTTCAAGGACCCACAAATGGCTCCTCGGACTCATTTTGGACACTCCTGATCTAAACTATGCTTTATAAAAAAGTAAAGTTTACATTCATTACATGATGTATCCACAATCTGGTAATTGTTAAGTTCTGGTAATATTAAGTTCTTAATATTGTTGTGTTAAAGCATTGTGTATTGTAAAAGTCTACAATACAGTCATTTAGTTTCAGAGAAAATGTCTATTTACAAATTGAAATTCAAGGCTTAAATCTTTTATGAATGAAAAGAAAAACTATGACAGTCATGGAGAGACAAATGCATGAAATCATAGCAGGTTCTGAGCTTCAAGTTCTCTGGTTGATTCCTGTTTTCAGAATAAAGACCTGAAGAGCAGGCTCAGTCATCTGGAAGGATCCCAGAAAACAAACCAGGATTCACTTGTCTCCAAACTTAACAGCCGAATCCAAGAGCTGGAGGAGAGGCTGCAAGGAGAGGAGAGGTCAGAACATCCTGCACAAATATTACAAAACTTTTATCATTCTTCTTGCATGTACGCTAATTATGAGTTTATCAGTCTGGTTTTTGTGGAAAATAACTCTGTAAGACACAACGCTCCAGAAAAAGAACCTGTAGCCATTTTGGGACATTAAAAACTCAAACTTTGGCACATTTTACTGGAAAGTAGCTCATAAGTAGGCGGGAAATGACACATGACCTTCCTTTTTATTTTATGAAGATATGAAGAGTGTCACTGCACAAACACAATTTTTTACATAGTTTCTATTGCAAATATCTTAGCATACTTAAACAAGACTAAACTAAATTATAAGTAATTGTTCAGCCAGATAAAGCAGCTTATTTTAAGTCAATTACTCCTTAATAATTCTTTAAAAGTTCCACTGGCAGAGACGTTTTTCCCATGTGAAAAATAAAACAATCTGCCAGTGAAACCAAGAACTTTTTCAAAGACTCAGTCGGTCCCACCAACCTAACTCCGCGTATCGTTTATCGTTTATCTTGAACAGTTTCTTGTCATGATGAGAATATTGTGTTAACGCTGACTTGATCAATTTTATCAAGACAGCTTTTTTTGTTGTTGTTTTCTGGCTTTTTTTGTATCAATAACTATCAGTGAATAAGATTAAATAAAGTCTCTTTCCGCAGTCTAGTGAGATAAATCACACTTATTTAAGTAAGAGGCATCATGAAGAATCCTATTTCAAATAGGAATGTTTTTCAAAAGCAGTATTTGTACTTGTGGCTCTGAAAGAAGAACAGCTTCAAGAAGAACTAATATTGCTTTTTATCGTCATAGTAAAAGAAAATGCCACTATAAAACTTTAAGACTGTCGGCTAATCCTTGTCAAGGGCGAAAGCCTTTCCTGCATCTTCCAGAATGCTGTGGTTCTGGAAAAGAGTTCAATGAAATGATTGAATGTTCTATCACACGTGTTATCTACTGATCCTGCTCTATCGCAATTTAATTTTATTGATTTATTGTCCAGCTTGTCCTGCTTCAATATCGTGCTGAAAAGTTACTTGTAATTTAGTTTTGTCTTATTTCAAGTGCAATAAGATATTCACATGAGAAACTACCAGAAATACTTGGTAATAATTTGTGTTTTTGCTGCAACAGTCTTCAGATTTTTATTTGTGAAAATAAAAAAATAAGATGTATTATGTATTGTTTTTATTCCAAAGCTGAAGGGACATTAATACTTTTGCACGGTTCTGTGCCTGCTGGTCTGTTAAGCCCTTGGATCATTTTCTCTGCTGTCCTGTCAGTATCTCTCATCAGCTAAGGGTTTGGTCACACATGGCTGCAGCAGCAATGTGATCTTTTCACAGGGAAAACAACAACCTGCAACAGGTGAACCGCAAACTGGAGCGCAAAGTGAAGGAGATGAAAATACAGGCGGACGAGGAGCACATCAACCTGCAGAGCCAGATGGACCAGGTAGGAAAGCCCAGGCCTTTAAGGGAGCGATCGGGAAGGAAATGGCTGCCACTTGGCGTACTGAGAATGTTAGTTGGTTAAACTTGGCAGCTGACTCAGCGGCTGAAGACGGCGAAGAGGCAGATGGATGAGGCGGAGGAGGAGATTGAGCGTTTGGAGCACAGTAAAAAGAAGCTGCAGAGGGAAGTGGACGAGCAGATGGAGGCCAACGAGCAGCTTCACGGCCAGCTGAATACTCTGCGCAACGAGATGAGGTGACGCTGCTGCTTTCAGATGTCTGAAATAATCTCTTAACTCTCCTAATTTCACCTTTTGGTGTCATTTACTAGGCGTAAGAAGAAGTCTCCTCCCTTCATGAAGCTTGTGGAGGAAGATCTGAACGACACGGATGATTTTGGTTCTGATTGATGGATCTATGATTAAAAAAAGTTCTGGACTTTATAAAGAAGTATTGTTCTTACTGTGAATATACAGTACAGTTAACAACTCAGGTGTGAATTATCATTTTCTAACTACTAATGACGCTTTGTCAGTGCTGACCTCTTGTGGTAACATTTATAACAGCATTTACTAACTATTTGATTTATTCTTTGTTTTCTATTCATATATCACTGTGAGTTAAGATGGCGTCAATCTAATCTGAAGCAGATAAATACCCAGATGGGGGGAAAAAAACTCTTTTTTTAACATTGAGCCTTGTGTATGTACCTTTGGAAAGGGCAAACTAAAATAAATCTGAATGTTTTACGTTTGTGCAGGTGTTTTGTCTTTGACCAAACACAAATTATATTTATTGATTGCTTTCTTTTTAGTTAGTTAGTTAGTTAGTTAGTTAGTTAGTTAGTTAGTTAGTTAGTTAGTTAGTTAGTTAGTTAGTTAGTTAGTTAGTTAGTTAGTTAGTTAGTTAGTTAGTTAGTTAGAATCAAAACCTTTCCTTGCACACAAAAGAAAACGCAATAACCTTAATGAAGAAAAGAGAAAAAGAAACAATACAAAGTAACACAAAAATAGTTTTAAAAGACATAATATGGAGTTCTGGTAGTGCCAAAAAATATATAGAATTTGATGGTTTTATTTTATTTCATTTTATTTTTTGAAAAATGTGACTAGATTTGCTGTCATTTTTCTTTTTTTTTTTTAACAGATTAATTTTTTTTTGAATGAATCAAATGTAACACTTTTGTATTGTTTTATTATACTTGGGTTAGGGGTTAGGGTTAACCCTAAAAAAATGAATGTGGGCATTTAAAAAATGAAAAACAAGTACAAAATAAGTGTATTAAGCTTAATAAGTGAAAATACAGAAAATCCCCAGTTTTTTAGATGATGCAAACAATTATTTTGCAAATTTGCTTTTACATGTTGTAGTTTTTAAAAAGTTTGTAGCCTTATGACATTTCTGAAAGGTTTATATACTGTATAATGCAAAAAATAAAATCCAAGCCAAATTATTTTATATTTGATTCTCATTTTCTTTAGCACTATAGTAGCTGCTGTGATATCTGCACATCATCCCTACATTTTGGTGCCAATATTAGTGAAATAGTTTGCATTTGCTGAGAAAAACTAAATTAGATTTAGATTAAGCACTTCAGAAAACCCTGTGGGGATTTTTAAGGGTCACATTTTCTCCACTTTTTGATCTGTGAAGTGGAAACTTTGTGTTGGTTTATCGTATAAAATATCAATAAACTGCATCACAGTTTGTGATGGCAATATGACAAAAAGTGAAAAGCATCTGAAAAGCTCAATGATGAGAGCCTGTGTCAGGAAGCAGAGAGTATTGTTGTTCCAATAGATCAATAGTTTGTGCTGAATGGCTGAAGCGACTCCAGAGGTGGAGATCTGGCTCTGTTGCTCTCCAGAGGTTTCTAAACACTTTTAACAACCACCTGAAAGTGCAACACGACAGAAACATGAGGCAGCACTGCGCGCTCAAACACGGAATATTCAAGGAGTTCTTGGCTGAATTCCTGGGAACGTTCGTCTTGGTGGTAAGCAGAAAAAGATTTCTATTTTCACACTTTGCATTTTTTTCTGAGGATATAGGTGATTATGCCAATGGATTTTTCTGAAACGTTGTTTTTATTTGCAGCTGTTTGGCTGCGGCTCAGTTGCTCAGACGGTCCTGAGTCGAAACACGCTGGGCGAGCCGCTCACCGTCCACATCGGCTTCTCCGTGGGCCTCATGATGGCCGTGTACGTGGCTGGAGGCGTGTCAGGTAAACCTCACATGTACTTAAGTAGATTTTTCAGGTGACGTTTTACTTTTACTCCCTACGTTTCAAGAGAAATATCTGTAGTTTATACTCCTTGCTTTACTTCCATGATGAAAAAGAGCCCAAAAATGTAAAAAGTAGCCATCCAAGAGATGACTTAAGCAAGATTAAATAAGTATTTAGTAAAAAGTCTAGTCAACTACTGAGTCTCTGATCAAATGATTAATCATTTAGTATTTAAATCACATGGACCAAAATTTAAAGTTGGTATTTTGAAGACGAAAATTGCAATAATTCATATAACACAAAACAACAAAATCAAGCAAAAAAACTTTTTACAGATTTTAGATTTGTCGAAAGTAATTTTGTATTCTGGAAGGTTAAAATTACTTTTCACTTTTACTAAAGCATTTTTTCATCTGTACTTCTACTTACGCAGAAGATGTGAGTACTTTCTGATTCATATGATCCAGGACTTACTGGCTACTGTGGTGTTTCTCAAAGTGAGGGTGCGACCCACTGTGGGGCCGCCACATGGCGCCAACGGAGTCCGAAAGTTGGAGGGAAGATGGAAAGAAAACTGAAAAACAAAAATTTAAATCATACATCCCTGTCAATTAAGAATTTGTAACCAGTTTCAGTACGTTCAAAAAATAAACACAATTCTGGCTATTCAGAAACAGAACTGTACCCATACTTAAATGTTTAGATTTTATTGCCTTATATGCTTGATTAATATTAAATGTTACATAAAATAGACGATTGTGGTGGGAAATTTTATCTGGTGATACATTCAACATCAGATTAATAAAGTTGTGGCATATTTCCCGATAAAAGTTTTCCAACTCATTGCCATCTAAAATCAGAAAGTACGAGGCAGCATTTATACTAAATGAATGTAATAATTATTGAATAGTAAATAAAAGTGAGGAAGAGATACAATATTCAATGTTTCTTTACATATGTTGTAGTATTATCTGTGGGTTTGCGAAGCTGTTGGGTGGCATGGAAAAGTGATGATGACATCTTATTAAATAATCTGGAAAAAAAACAAAACTGTATTATTGTCCTTATAATTTTCTCTCTTTTAAAACAAAACTTACTAAGAGAGGAGTTAAACAATGCAGCCGCTCCGTTTTGTGCTGTATGTCAACAACCTTGTGGCTCATGAGGCTCTGGATAATTAAACTTTATGTGTTTCTGTGCAGCCATGTGGCATCTGAACGGCTCCGCTGTCAGCAGGAACGTGTCACCGCTCTGCCCAGATCCTCTGGCTGAGCTCTGACCATTGATTTATCAGCACTACAGAGTGAAGCCTCTCCGGGTCGTACATAACCCTGGGCAGTAAATGTCCTGCAAACACCATTGATCAGACAGAGACCGACAGAGTCCGGCATCCAACTGAGAATACTGGACTGAGCCGGCCAGCAGCTCAGGTGGATCCAGAAACCAAACAAACAGCTTTGGCTTAATGAGGCTGCAGCAAAGATGAGGTTCAGAAAAAGAAAACTAGTTATGGCTGTTTTTTAGTATTAGGGCCATTGTGGGTGGACTTAATAAAGGAGTAAATTTCTAAATAAAATTAGAGATTGAGATTTTTTAGAAAAAACATGGACAATTTTCTGAGTTTGAAAAGTTGAGTTTTCCAAATTTTGAAAGTCAAAAATTACCAATGTTTTTCTAAAAGGTTTCTGAGATTAATCAACAATTTTTTATTTTTTATTTTTTGCAAAGTTTTGATTTTTGGAGCTCAGAAATGTTTTTATTTCTAGAAAATTTCTCAGATTAATCTAAAATAATCAGCATTTTTTTTCTTTTTTACAAACATGAAACTTCTGGAGCTCAGAGATTTTCTTGTTTCTAGAATATGTCTCAAATTAATGTAAACATTTCATATTTTTCTTGCAAGATTATGACCTTTGGAGCTGATCATTTTCTTTGTTTCTTCTAGAAATTTTCTGAGATTAATCTCAAAATTTCAGATTTTTGTTGTGCAAATTTATGATTTTTGGATCTCAGAAATTACCATATTTTTTTCCACAAAAATTTCTGAAATTAATCTAAAATTTTATGAGCTCTATGGTGGAATTTTACACCTTAGTCTCTAGAAACCTGCAGTATGTTGCTGTAGGCTAAAGCAAAGTGAAGTTCAGGAAAAAGAAATCACAGTTCTGTTTTTGCTGACAGTGTGTTGGTGAAACTTCAATTCCCTACAGTGAGATTGATTGTAATTTGTTAAAGTTGGAATTTCTTATCAGTGGTCGTTATTCTGTATTTTGGCTCTCAGACCTGCACAATAAAACCCCGAACTGCCCAGGGCTCTGCTCCCCTTCTGCTGCTCCTCATAAATGTGACAGCCTCCCTGATAATGGAGGGGGTATTAAGTCAGTGAGCTGCCCCTCACCCGCTGCAGCCCTCTGTCACTCTGTGCTTTGTTCTGTGTCTCAGGAGGCCATGTGAACCCCGCCGTATCTCTGGCCATGGTGATTCTGGGGAAACTAAAGATCTGGAAGTTTCCCTTCTACGTCATCGCTCAGTTTCTTGGTGCTTTTGCAGGAGCTGCAGCCGTCTTTGGATTATATTATGGTGAATGAGTTGGTTTTTTTTTTTTGTTTTTGTTTACAAATCACACTACAAAAGCACAAGGATGCTAAGCTGATTTGAACAGCTGCAAAGGTGGATCCAGAAACCAAACAAACAGCTTTTTCTTAAGACCATAAGAACGACACTGCAAAAACACAAAATCTTACCAAGTGAATTTAATAAAAACTTTGCACCAAAAATTATTATGTAAGATGTTGTGTTGTTGCACTGTAAACCAGTATAATTCTCCCATATTATAAAGTATAATATGGTAAAAATGTCTTATTTTTCCATCAATATTAAGAAATTATTTACTTAACATAACCTCCAATATTTGTATATTATTATTATTATTATTATTACTTGTAAGTTAGTTTTGTCTTACTTAAAATGTACTACAATATTTGCACCAAAAATATTTGTGTTTTTGCAGTGTCAAAGTATAAAACTAACTATTTTTATGGTTAGATTTTATTTTTCTGTTTTTTTTAAAAGATAGGATCCAAATAGATGGTTAAACGTCTCTTTGTCTTCATCACAGATGCTTTCATGGACTTCACCAGCGGTATTCTGTCAGTGACAGGAATCAATGCGACAGGTCACATTTTTGCCTCCTACCCTGCCAGACACCTGTCAGTCCTCGGCGGCTTCATCGATCAGGTTGGTTCTGGTCGCTCTGACCCAAAAGACCTCACGTCCGCTCCCCACCGCAGCTTCAATTTGCCGTTTAAACCCGACAAAGTCTGGCAAATACGGTAAAGGCAGCATTGATCGCCCCACATAGTCTGAGAACGGCGCCTCTTCCTGCTCGGTTTGGGTCTGGTGACCCATTTCCTGGGATCCATTGGACCAAGTTGCCACTGTTTTCAGTCAGTCAGTTAATGTGTTGCTTTGAAAATTAGCACACTTAAAGCTAATAACATCAAAATGTAACATAAACATGGCCACGGCCCCCAACTCAACGTTTACTCATACAAATGACCACAATTATACAACCTTACAGCTTTGAAAAGCAAAAGTAGAGCCCCCTGCAAAACCAACAGGAATGCAGCAAGTGGTTTCTAGATGGTAAGTCAACAGAAAAATACTTGCAGCAGTAAAACCAGCTGTCCAAACATGCTGGGACTCCACTTTGGCTGCTAGGTAACGAGTTGCTGGTTTCTGAAGGTTTTTTTAAGCAGTGCATTAACTTATTGATAAAACATGGCTGGGTGATTTTTTATTATTTATTTTTAGGTATTTGAGTTGGTTTTAGGAGCAATAGAAAAGTAAATAAGGACAAAAATGTGCGAAATGTGAATTTTGTATAAAATGTCCCCTCTAAAAACAGAAGTGGCTTGAGGCAAAAGGATGTATGTAGCGGTTGGCCATATGAAATCTGGATTTTATCGCAATATTTTATGGTACTATTGTGATTACACCGAGGATTATGATGAAGAACCTTCAGTAATAATGGCACAGCGTTGATATCGCCACAAACGCAAAAATTGTTCTTCAAAATTATTCCCATTTAACTGCACTGTAAGACAATAACACGTCTAATTTGTGGTAAAATACCAGGTGTGGGTGCCAAAACTTTACAGTAAAAATACGGTAAAGCCGTATTTATATGGCAACATTTCTGTAGTTGCCAGAATGTGTGGTAGCAGCCACACCTGATACTGTTTTACCATAAATTAGAGATGTTTACTCTTTTTTTTTTTACAGTGTGGCTTCGTTAGGACATAAATTATTAAGAAAAAAAAACTGTGACTTAAAAAACAAATATAAGATTTACATAATAAATAGTGCAGAAAACAGCAGAAATAACATTTCCAATCAGACTACAGGTTTTGTTTTGCCTTTCTTTTCATAGTATGTGATAAACAAATCAATAAATTCACACACCTAAGTGTAAAGAGTGTTTAAATATGTTATGGGATTTATGTTAAGTGCTAATATGCTAACGATTGTTGTAGAAGAAAGGCTTTGTAGATAAACAGCAAAGGGTTTTATTTAAGCTCTCACATTCTGTATGAGAGCTGACCAATGAAGAGCTGCTGCGCCCCCTGCAGGTGGTGGGGACAGGTATGCTGGTTCTCTGTATTCTGGCGATCATCGATGGTGGGAACATTGGTGCTCCTAAAGGCGTGGAGCCGCTGGCCATCGGTCTGATCATCATGGCCATCGGCGTCTCCATGGGACTCAACTGCGGCTACCCTCTGAACCCGGCCAGAGACCTGGGACCCCGGCTGTTCACGGCGGTGGCCGGCTGGGGGATGGAGGTCTTCAGGTAACCAATATTCAGATTTTTTAACTGAACTTGGTCAGATGTTTTCTGATTCTATTTGTTTTCATCAGATTTAACACAAAAACTGCTAAACTAGAGAAAACCAATCAGGAAATGAATGTTACCTTTTGAAAACCCACTGAGAAATTGCACTACATGCTCTTGATATGTTGAGATATCTTGGTTTCCTCAAGATGACAAGACTGGTTATCTTGTGAAAACCACTTTGAAATTTATTAATTATTTAAAAAAAAACATTTGGAAATTTACTCATTATTTTGTCATTTTGAGAAAAAAAATCGTGGAAACTCATTATTACTTATTATTAAAATAAAACATGTGAGAAATAATATCTGCTTTTGGCTTATAATGATACTTTATAAATATGTGTATAAACAGAAAATAAATCGAGGATGAGTCGTGTTAAACAAATATTTACCGTGTTTGACCAGGTTTTTAATTTACAAATCTGAAGGCCGTCCGTCATTTCGACGGGTTACACACTCCTGACCAATTAATGCATTTGAATCTGAAGACATTTTCTAAACTTTACGCGCAGAGAACATCACAGATATGACTAAAATCTAAAAATATTTAAAAATATGATCTGAATATCGTCTCTGAGCACTGGAAAGTTCACGATGGGATTTTATTTGACCTCGGCAAACAAAACAAAAACATAACAGTTTAGCTCTGGTGCCTCATTGCTTCCAAAGCTTTTAAAAGTTCATGTCTTCATTCAGATTTCCAGGAAGTGAGCCATTTTGTTACATAATGTCACATGTTCCCAACATTTATCCAGCCATCGACTTTTCTGATTCTGTTTGTGTGGCTGGCAGCACTGGAGGCTACTGGTGGTGGATCCCAGTGGCGGGGCCCATGGTGGGAGGCGTGGTGGCGGCGGTCCTCTACTTCCTGCTCATCGAGCTGCACCATCCCCACGACGAAGACGAGAAGGCCCACGAGGTGGAGGAAGAGGAGGAGGAAGAGGAGGAGGAGGACGACGACAGCAGTCTTAAGGACAAATACGAGATGATCGCCATGAGCTAAAACATTCAGCGCAGCAGTCTTGGGAAGAGTATGGAGCTAAATTGGAGCCATAAAGTTTGCTCAATTTACTTCTTTTTTTTTTTTACTGAAAAAAAAATTGAATTAATTGAAAAACAATTTTGAAATTGAAAAAAAAAAGATTTTGAAAAGTAGTTTTGAACTTTTCTGTAGTTTCAAATCTTTTGTCAGTTTCACAAATGCATTTCAGTTTCTGTTTATAAAAAAAATTGAGGAAACCTTATAGCTCCATTTGTTCCATACACATGGAGCTAAATGGAGCGCCATCGATATGGAGATAAATTGGGGCCATAAAGTTTAGCTCAATTTATTTATTTATTTTTAAACTGAAAAACAAAACTCAAAATGAAAACTGGTTTTGATAGCAAAAAAAAGTCTGGACCTGAAAAGAAAATCTGAAACTGAAAAAAGAATCTTAAAGTAGTTTTAAACTTTTTTCAGTTTCATCATTATTTTTCAGTTAAAAAAAAAAAACTTGGACCAAACTTTATGTACTTTATAAAACTCCATATCTATGGAGCTAAGTTTGCTCAATCTGATTTTATTTGTTTTGTAACTGTATGTCTCATTGTTGACAATTAAGTTATATATTATTTTTGTAAATACAATCGAATATTTTTAGCATAAGTCATGAATGCTTAGCTTCCCTTTAGCTTTTTTCCCATTACCCTCAATGATTGTGACAATCATTTGTTTATATTAATTTTAAGTTTTTCTTCCATATTCAACAATTTTCTTTTGTACATGATGATTATTTTTCCTGGTTGTTACTTTTTGCATTTATTTCAGTTTGTCTAAATTAAAGTTTACACAAGTAAGTTCTCATGAGAATTTTTTATTCAGTTTACTGTTTGTTCATTCATGCTATTTCTATGCAAATTTGAACTGAATTTATTTTAATCAGCAATTTATATGCAAATACTTTAACCTAATTATTTACTTTTTCATTGTGATTTTACTTATTTGAATTATAGTCACTTTCAGTTACTGAAGTTTTTATAAGTATTTTATAAGTGAACATGAATGTTAATGGTGCAGCATAGCTTATGATTTTAAAGTTGTTGTCCAAACCGAATCCTCATCATCGTGCGCCATGGTTGTTGTTTTTCTTGTCGCTTCAGAGCGCAGAACAGTGACGTTTTTGTGAAGTATCATATTCAGGTCGAATGTGCCGTTCAGATTCTGCTCACATTTAGAAAGATCAGCTGCGTATTGGATTTAGAACCACATACTCAGTGGCCTGAGTTGCATTTGTAAAAATCTGACTTGTGTTTCAGACTGTCGTGAAAAGATCAGGCAAAGGTCACATTAAGGCAAAAAAAAAAAAAATCTGAATTGGGTCACTTCATGCTGCAGTGTGAACACAAGCTAAGACTAGTTCGAAAACAAGCAATTAAGAATTATCACAAACATTTAACAAGAAGAGATGCAATTTAGCAAAATTTTCGATTTAAACCCAGAATCAGATTATAAAATCATTGATTTGCTGTTCTAGGAAATACTGGACTGAAATTGTTGCTTTGGTTGCTTATTCACACTGATGTAGCAGCCAGTAACTGGAGCAGAACATTAATATTGATGATCAATAATAAACCACTCTTTGCTGCACATGCATTCCTGCAATAATCCCCTTTGTTGCATAACTAAACACATTCAGAAAGCATATAAAATTAATGTAATAGAGAGTATCAGAAATGCATCAAAGACACTGAAAAAAACAAACAAAAAAATTACAAAAACAAACTAAAAATCAGTAAATCAACTTAGTGAATATAACACTTTACGTTTTGTGCTGCAAAGCCTCCAACTAAACGTTTTCATTAAAATAAGAGCTCCCTCTTCTGTCCATGCTTATGTACTGCACCCACTTGCGTGAACAAGTGGCTGCAGTTGTTTTTCAGCAACAAAACAGCTGAAAAAAAAAATTAGAGCATCAGTCAAAGAGCCAAAATTGAAGTTCTCCGATTGTTTCACCCATTTTTATGAAACTATATCAACTTGAAGCTTAATTAACTCAAGAATAATGTGTGAAATATTTGGCGGAGGTGAGTTACGACCTTATTAACAGTTAAAAAATCTATTAACAAATACTGTTATTATTCAGAGTTTCGTTTCCTCTTTTTACAAGCGTTGCATGACTCCCATATTTTATAGCCAATATGAATTATTGATTCAGCTGCAGTGAACTTCAGAGAGGCAAGGACAGCTGTGCCAGGAGTTTCTGGGTTTACAACAAATTGAATAAAAAGTTTAATGTGTCCAGAAAATAACATCACACTGCAAAAACACAAAATTTAATTTTGTCTAGTTTCCAGGGCAAATATCTTAGTACGCTTGAATGAGACAAAACTAACTTTTAAGTAGCTTTTAAAAACCCCCAAAAAGGCATAGCAGTTTATTTAGTCAATAATTCCTTAATGTTGATGAAAATAAATTTGTTTCACTGGCAGATTATTTAATTTATAACAAGACTATTTTCTCATGTTATAAGTGAAATAATCTGCCAGTTGAACAAAAAAAAATTTTAATCAATATTGATGAATTATTTAGTTAAAACAAGCTTCTATATCTTGCTGAAAAGATTGTCTAAATTCAAATGTACTAAGATATTTTCATCAGAAATAAAATGTATTTTATAAGGGAAAGTAGAAGTACTTTTTCATAAATTATAGTTATCATGGAAAAAAATGTCAGGTTTCAATGTCAGATTATATTCCTTATAACTAACTTGTTAAAATAATTACGTGTTAGTTTTGTCTTATTTCATGCGTACAACAATATTTTGCACTATAAATTAAACCAAAATTTGGTAAAAAACCTCATGTAGTTAACTTTGTTGCTTATAATTTATATTAATTAACTGGAAGCACAAAAAGAAGTGTGGTAAGGAAAAAAAATTCATAATGAATAAGTGGAATACATTAAAAAAAAAATCTCCAATTAAGTTTATCTTGAAAGCAGACCGCAAGATGCTAAAAGAATCTCCAGATTATAAAATTTATTAAAATGTCACCAGAAAGACATTGCACAAGTTTAACTTCCAATATGTGCAAGGATGATTTAATTGTTCCATATAAATAAGGGGAATAAAATTCACATAATCTCAATTGTGACCTTGAAAAGCCAAAGAGTGCACACACATTGCAGACAGTAAACAGAGGTCTATTTTATTTTGAATGAGTCTTTTAATTAATGCATTTCAAGTACTTCAAAAATTACATCTCTTTGCACAATACAATTTCAAATTTTTATTTTCTTTTTTTAGTAAAAATGTTCAAAGTGAACAAAAATTTCGAATACTGTATAAAACACAGTGAACATTAAAATCAGACAGTAGTTTTTACGCTTTAATCATGTGTTCTTACGGCCTACATCACCTACGACATTTCAACTCAATTTGGACATTTTCAGTGCACGTTTATCTAAAAACTTTTACCAAGACTACGAAATTAAAAAGAAAAGTAAATTTACAGGCATTTTTTTTAACTTCTGCTCGTCTACCCGAACCATGCCCCAGGATAATCAAATGAAAAATAAAAAACAGAAAAAAAATCATAATGGGAATGTAACATTAACTCCATCACTGGATAGTTTTTTCCTCCGTTGATGACAGTGGTAAAAAGCATAAGCAAATTCCAGTTCTACTTGCACAAAGAAGAACATAAATAACTTAGAAGAGAGGAAAATTTGTCACATATGAACATTTTTAACAAGTTACTCTGAATTTAGAAAAAAAAGAAATAGATGTATCAAAATGTACTTTTCATTTTCAAATTAAAATGCTAACTTTTTTGTTTTATTTTTTTTTCTTCCTCCAAGTACTGTACAAGTTTACAGGTAAATTCTTCTGGCCTGACAGGTGAGATGAGATTTAAAAAGAGAGCTCCATTTTGTACAGAGATGAGGAGTAATAGCAACCGCCACGCTGTCGAATTCATCCGCTTCCTTGCAGAAAACGACGCGTGTTGGTCGTTTACGTGGACCGCTCCCCTACAGAGCTCACTGGGACGAGGACAAAAAGTCGCACTAGTTTTGATTAGTGTTGCATGCACTTAAAAATAAAACCAGAGCTCATGTGCAATGAAATACAAAATCTGGGATGTGTCTTCTTGTAGAGGCATTCATGATATTTTACACTTAAGCAACATTATTGGGGATTTTCCCCCTGAAAAATAATAGTAATGATGAAAAAGGGAGCACATGCATTTTCAATTCCTTATTTTCAGTCAGATTTTGTTCTGTTCTTGCTCAAAATTCATCTCAAATTCAAACAAAGAGAAGTATGCTGACAGAAAAAGAAATTTTAAAGTATATTTTGTCATGACTAGTACAAATATCTTAAAACACTTGGAAAAAAAAAAGAAACATAATATTGATTTACAGAAAAGGTGCAAGAGCCACTGGTAAATTTTTTTCACTAAAAATACACTGCAAAAATCACAAAATCTTACCAAGTTTTTTGGTCTAGTTTCTAGAGGAAACATCTTACTATTCTTAAATAGTAAGAAAGAGAGCTCCATTTTGCAATGGCCAAACTAACTTAAAAGTAACTTTTTTAGCTTGTTTTAAGAGAATAATGCCTTAATTTTGATGAAAAAGTTCTGGTTCCATTGACAGGTTATTTTACTTATAACAAGACATTTATATATAATTTATCTGCCAGTGGATAAGGAATAATTAAGGAAGTATTCACTTAAAACAAGCATCCATCTTTCTAAAAAACAAAACAAATTAGCTTTTAAATTAGCTCATCTTATTTCAAGTGTACTAAAGATATTTGCACTAGAAACTAGCCCAAATAACTTGGTAAGATTTTGTGTTTTTGCAGTGTATGAGAATTATCTGTGGAACTAGTATATTTTTATTAATTTATTAACTTCAAACAAGCTTCTACATCTTGATAAAAATTATTTTAAGTTAGTTTTGTCTTGTTTAAGGTGCACTAAGATATTTGCATTACAATTGAGCCAAAAAATGTCGTTAAATGTTGGTTTTGCAGTACATTTCAGCAATCAGATTTAATGTTGCTTATGCAAGTTTCTTCTGTTCCTCCACTATTGGGATGGGACTTGAACTCTCTGCTGTGTTTTCTGCTTGCAAATTCATTTTTGCTCTCTGTCTGATAACAGTTGTAGCCGATAAAATGGCGGCAAGACTCTGAACACAACATGTTCACCCGACAGAAGGAGTTGCTGCCGGTGACTCTCTGCAAACTGTTGAGGAGAAAAAAAAACATTGCTGAGGTTTTAACATTATTTCAGTGAAACTATTAGAAAAAAAAATTGTGCAACAGGCATTTAATCTGACATATAAGGTTGAGTTTTGTGCAAGAGCAGAAAAAACATCTACAGGAAAAAAATCAGGAATTTCAGTCAATTTAAAAATGTATGCTCTTACAATAAAAAAAGAAGTCATGATTGCATCACCAGGTACAGTTCTTGTCATCTAATAAATAAAATTCACAAAAAGGGTTTGTTTTGCAAACACCTGAGGTCAAACCAATCACACTTCCTTCCTTCCTGCTGCTGTCTGAGTGGATTTCTGCGGTAAACATCCTGCATGGTGAGCTCTTTAGGGGATCAGGAAGTGGCTTTTCCAACAGATTAGTAGTGAACGCACCGAGGAGAACGTTAGTGAGCAACACTACTGCATTACACTTCTCTTTCCTGCGTTACACAGCCGTCAAAATAAAATAGTGCTGAGTGAATTACAGATATTACAGACCTTTGTCAATTCAAAGCCACATGTAATAAATGTGTCTGCATGCCCACAAGGAAAAGTTCTGAGATTCACTATCTGAAGAATAATAGACTGACTTAATCTTACATTTTTTTTTAGTCATTTTAAAAAATGTATTTCCACACTCATGTAAACTAACACGACTCATTCCTAGACTCCTAGCCTTTGTTTTCAGTCACTCTTCATGATGATCAGAAGCAAATAGTGTTGTGATCCTTCATATTTGTTCCCATGACGCTACATCTCCTTACACAGCATGAGCAAAAACAACATGATGTTAGCAAGACCAAAAAAAAAAAAAAAAAAAACGAAAAGTGAAAATCTTCATAATCTTGTGATCAAATAAAAGTGAATGCGATCCAACTCAAGAGCGTCAAATCCTCAACGTTCCTTCATTTGTGTGTTAAGAATCCTGAGAGCACTAACCGAAAAGAAAAAGAAAAGTAGTGAAGAATTACACATTTACAGTAGAAGAAATAGTTTGTTTTCACTTATGATACACTAAATATTTACAGTCACATGCAGAAGATAATCTGCATGAGGAGACCAGAGCCCGTCTCTTTTGCTGTTCGACATGAAAAATCAGAAAAAGAAAAAAAAAAAAGTGCCACAAATTCCCACTGAGTTTCTCTCATTCCTGGTCAGGATGATGAGGGGGGAAAAGAAACAAAAAGAAGAGGAAGAAAAAGAAGCACGGAACGATTCACCGGGAGTCACTCGAAGATCGCAACAGAAAGAAAAAGACGTCACAGGATGTACTAACGCTACACATGATTCTTAACTCTCCTTGGCACTCCTTGGATTGAAAAGAAAAAAGAAAGATGGAAAACGATGCACTGGAGATGGCTGATGGTCGAGTCCACTCCGCAAAGAGCCGGCTGAGTTGTTGGACAAAGTTTTTACTCTTCTTCCGCGTAGAGCGCGTTGAATGCAGACCGGAGGATATGACGATGACAAACAACCGTGTCAGGCTTTTCTTTGGATGGAGTGACGCTTTTGTTTCCCACTGTAGGCACGAGGAGGAGCCAAGGCATTGGGGGTTGCAAGGAGGGGCAGCGGGGTCTCAGCGTCTCATCTGGCCCATCTGATAGTTCTCTCTGGGCTGACGGTGGTGCCTCTGGGGCTGCGCCTGCCGCTGCGGCTGACCCCGGGCTTGTCGCTGGCCGCCGTGGCCGCCGTGGGGGTGCTGCGACTGGTGCTGCACCTGAGAGCTGGCGTGCTGCTGCGCCCGTCGCCTCTTCAAAGTGCCTGGAGACAAAACAAAATGGAGGGTTGGCTCGCTTTTCAAGCGTTTTCAAGGCAAGAAGAGGAAGTCGGCCATCTTTCACCTGAGGAACATTTCCAGGGTTAGAGAACTAATGTCCCAATGAAATCTAGAGAAACTCATCCTGGTGTTTAACTTTAGTCACACTGAACCAGGAAGATGGAGCATTAACTCAATTCTAAAAATAAGAGACCACTTTGAACTTCTCATATTTTACTCTTTGTAACCATTTGTTTGAGTGAAATGAACATTGTTCTTTTATTGTGTGATCTACTGACAACCTGTCTCTGAAATTCCAAGCAAAAATTTATTTGTAGTCAAAATAAGAAAAAAGATGCAGACCTCTTTCAGACCTCAAATAATTGGAAGAAATGAGTTAATCTTCCTTTAGAAATAGCAATAATAATGTTTTAATTCAGGAAGAGTTCAGAAATCAACATTTGGTGGAATAACCAGGAGGTTTTCAATGTTAGTCAGTGCAGTGGGCTCTTAGATTTTTCCAGAACTCTGTCCAGAAAGTGTTAGGAACTGACCTGGCAGTGGTTTGGGAGGAGGCAGCTTGGGGTTACTGCTGGGTGTGTGAACGCTGCAGATCTTAATAAAACCCGCCATGAGCATGATGAGAGCGATGCCCATTAGCAGCACAGCCCACCAGTGAGCCTGGAGGAGGAATCATCACAAGACCTTTCAATCTTAAACTGAAAACTAGAAAACGTCCAGCGGATTCGGTACGTACCACAATCCACTCTGCAATGTTCTCATAGAGTTCTGGGTTGAAGATGGCCTTCTTTAGCCTGGCGAGCGGCCCGTCCGCGTCCACCAGCCGACACTTCATGAACACGTCGCAGTAACCTTTGAAATCGTTGCAGGGCGATCCCGCTGGCAGGGTGGTGACTTTCTTATTGAAGAACCGAGCCAAACGCTCCGACCCCGTGCTGCTGCAGGTGTTGGGGTTCACTGCAGAAACAGATCCGATTCTCATTTGCATTGTGTCGACTAAGACAAAAACATAAAACTCTACTCGGCTTGGCTCCAGCCCACCTAAATTCTCCCCTGCAACGATCTTTACACTGCAACAACATTCTTCTGTTGCACGTGTTTGAACAGAAAAATGGAAGCAAGCATTCACAGTCACAGAACGCGCTCTAGTACAAATTAAAGATGTTGAGTCTTATTTCATTGGAGCTGTTCTTAAAAACATGCAATGTGATTCTATTGAACAGTGTTTTAAACTGTTTACTGTACCGTAACTCTGCGATACTATTTGAAAAATTCTATCAGTTTCTGAAAGGGGAGTCGTTGCGCTTTACAGCCAATCGTCAGGTTATTACGGTAATTTCACGCCTGCTGTTGCAGGTAGTTTACTCTGATGAAAACTCTTCAAATATAGACAATAAATTGTAAATAACTGCTATGAATTGAAAGTGTTTATCACGGATAAAACTATTTACTCACAGGACATTTAAAGAACTTTGTACAAATAAAATAAGCAAAAATATCCAGTTGGAGATTTTAAACTTAGGACTTAAAGGGTTAAACTTGCTTGGAGAAACTGCTGGGTTTGCAGTAACCCCAAAAACACAAATTCTTACCAAGTATTTTTGGTCTGTTTTCTAATGCAAATATCTTCTCTCACTTGAAATAAGAGAAAATTAACTCATAAGTAACTTTTCAGCAAGATATAGGAGCTTGTTTTAAGTCAATACTTTCCTACAATTAATGAAAAAGTACTAGTTCTGTTGGTAGATTAATTCACTTTCAACAAGATATTTAGTGGTAAGTGAATTAATCTACCAGTGGAACATTAGTATTAATATTAAGGAATTATTAACTTAAAAAAAAGCTCCTATATCTTGCTAAAAACTTACTGGAAAGCTCATTTTGTCTTATTTCAAGTGAATAAAACATTTGCTCTAGAAATGACACCAAAAATACTTTTTTCTGTTTTTTAAGCATTTAAATTAATTGTACTTTTGTGTTGCTGATTTCTGCCCAGGATCCTCTTGACAATAAAATCTGGATCTTAAATGGGTTTTGTATGGTTAAATAAAGTTATTATTATTTTATTAAAAAAAAAAAAAAAAATAGATAAAGCCACTCACTCTTCTCCATGCAGCACACGTGGCAGAGCTCGGTCTCATCCTTGCCATCTTGGCTGGCGCAGGTGCACGCCTCAAGCCCGTACTTCTCGCAGATGGAGCCGGAGCAGCCCTGCGGGGGAGGAGCACGAGGACAGGCGACATCAGACACCGACTAGTGTGACAAGAGCGTTGCTACAGCAACCAGCTCTGCCAGCGCCAGGTGCGAAACGTTCGGACGCTCACCCCGTTGAGGCAGACTTGAGTTTCGCCGTGGCAGGCGGTGAAGTTGGCTTTGGGCTCCGAGGTCGGGCACTGGGCGCTTCCCCCGCTGCACATGCCCTGGTGAGCACACTCCGACTCCTCCCTGCACTTCTCGTTGCGACCCTTGTAGCCGCACTCGGGAGTGCAACAAGGACCCTGACTCGGGCTGACGGGGAAACAAGCGAGACCCGAGTCAAAAACAAGCCGGGCGTGAGCAGAACGAAATGTCAAAAACCCATAAAAAATATCTAAGGAAATACCTGAAACTGTATTAATTGTCGATTAATGGTTTATTAGATCAATCCACTAATAACATCTGCATAGATAGTACTTAAGTGTTGTAGTTTTTCTGCCATCCAGCAGAGGGCACTACTGGTCAAACTTCAGCAGTTGATACAGAAACAAAATGGTGGGAATGAATAAGTCAAATTGGACTCAGTCATTCAATATTTAATATAAGTAAACAAAATATGGAAAAATGTCAGTATTGTGCTGAATTTGAAACAATAGCAGGTGTGCTTTTAGTACATTAAAAATATGAGATTTAATTAGGTTAAAAGTGGACAAATTTAGAGAAAAATAAACATTTAATTTAATAAATATACTACAGGGGGATTCAGAAAATAAAAGTATTAAAATTTTAACTGGTGTTTTAAGGAAAACAAAGTTGTTTAACAGAATCTAAAAGAACAGATATGTCGAGCCACACTCCAGTCCAGCAGGTGGCGATAATGATCTTTATTGATGGGACTGAGAAACGGTCCAAATAGAGTCTGATGTGTGTAAAATGCACTTTTATTTGGTTCCGTTTTGAAATATAAACAGTGAAAAACCTTCTTAATTTACCACCTTATTGGGGCTCATTCAGCTGAGCTGCATGACGTTGATAATATGATGGAGAAGCCGAGGCAATAATACAGAAAATTAGTAAAATAAGAAAAAAAAAAAAAAAGAACATATTGCCGATAAGTTAGGTTGATTTTGAGGTTTGTCATGAGTTAATAAACTTTCCTTCAAGAGGAACCATAGAAGATATTTTATTGTTTTGGTCTTTTATTTTATAAATGTCTAAATTTAATAATGTGAGAAAAACACAATTTTCTTCTTATTTAGTCTATTTAATACACATGACACAAAATAATATTATCAAAAGTTAATAGTTAATCACTCAAAAAATTGTTGTTTATTCAAATTATTAGCTTTTGGTATCTTTGCCAATTAAAAGTGTAATTATTTTTACTAAACTTAACATAAAATGCAGGCAGAAAAAATTATTTTATAATTTTCTGCCTGTGATGTTGTGTTTGTTGTGAAGCAGTGTGGTTATCTTTTGCTGTTATAAATAATCTCTGACTTGACTCTAATCATTACTCGAGCAGTAAGATAAACCATCTTTAGATTAACTCGTTATTTGATCTCCTACCTGCAGACTTTGTTGGGCTTTAATTTGCACTTCTTGTTGTCGGGCTGGTTGGCGTCGTAGCAGCACAGGTCTCTGCACTGGTCGCTGTAACCGCAGTCGCACTCCTCTCCAGGCTCCACCAGGCCGTTCCCACAGATCGGCTGGCCAGATTCTGTAGCAAAGAAATTGCAAAGAAGCTTAGAATTTAAAAAATCCCACGATAAAACCTTTTAGGGATATAATGTCAAGAAATCCAACAGTATTGTTGATACATAATCAACAATCCAGAGAGGTTTTGTTGCTACTGCATTCATTTTTTACTTCAAATGAATTTATTTTGTTCTTTTTATAATTTATATAAACCGTTATAAAAACTGTGGAAAGATTGTACAATCTAGTTGGGAAGCAACTAGTTACATTTACTCGCTTTTAAGAGTGTAGTTTGTTTTTATTATGTTGTACTTTTTACTTTTACTTGAGTAGTTTTATTATATAGTGTTGTTACTTCTGCTTAAGCAAATTGTCTGGATTCTCTACCCATTGAATAAAAAAAACTATTTTAACCAAAATTCACCAAAAACCTGCAGCTTTTGTTAAAGTTTCATAAGTTTTTGTAATTGAAAGAAACCAATTTGGAAAAGTTTTCTCTTTACTCATTTTGTTATTTTTAGGGGGGATTTGGAAAAGCTATATCGGGCTTATTAATGCAAAACATTTATGAGCAGAATCTGAAGTGAGATCCGTTCAAGAAAACAAATCAATGACGACAGGAAGAAGAATCAAGTTCAGGCCAGAACTTCGCCAAAATCTGATTAATGGAGACAAACAGTGAGTCATCAAAATACAGTTTTTAATAAAGTAAACAAAGTGAGATCGCTTGTTGCAGTTATTCAACCCTGAAGAAAAAACACCAAGTAAATAATTGAAAGGCCAAAATTAATAGCTTTAATGCTTTATGAATAAGGTTAAAAATAATGGTTTAATTTCTGTAGGTAGCCATTTTAAAGCCATGCCAAATGTACCATCTGCATACAAAAGAAAAACAACAAAGGTAGTTGTTCAGCCTGCCAAATGCTGTCAGATAAAAATAATACCATGCCACAGCCAAGATTGGGTTATGGAGCTAGTGCAGCTCTGCAGGATCACCTCCAGCTGCCATATTTTATTTTCTAATGAAGACTTTTGGATGACTCTGCTCTCCGTTGCAGGGAGCAGCTGAGTAAGAACGATTACAGGGTTTGAATTTCTGATTCCTTAACAAGAGAAGTTCAAATGCGGGCCAACGCGACGCAGTAAAACCTACCAACAAAACAGTTTCCTCTCTTCTTCTCCAGGACCTGGCTGATGTTGCGAATGCTACAGTAGGAGAACTTATTATTGTTGAGCTTGTCTCCCGATGTGGCTCGCGCATACATGATATAATTGCCCTTCTCCTTCTTGTCTTGGCTTTTGGATTCTCCTGGGGTGCACTCGGCTCCGGAGTCATGCTAGGAGTGAAAGTGGAAAAGAAAAACCTGAGGTTAGACGAGCGTCTACCACGCGTTAAATGTGCCACGTCTGAGTTACATACCGGGGAGCCAAAGTTGTGTCCTACTTCATGTGCAAAAGTGATATGAGAGACTTTTGGAGGTACGTGGGAGGCATAATTCTGTACCGTGATTATACCAGTGTTGAGAGACTTCCTTTTTCCGTCAGAGTACAGCTTGCTTTTTTCACAGATTCCCCCAGAGCTCCCTGGAAATGAGGAAGGAGAAGTTCAGAAAGATGCTTTCACCTCAAAGAGATCAAGAATGATTGATTTTATAATTGAGTCAAAAATAAAAACCAGTCTTATTAGCAAAAACCTTTAAAAAGTGTTTTAATCAAACATGTAAAACTAGAATTTCAGAGGAAAATAACAGTTAGAAGTGAAAAGTTGCATTAACTTATTATTAGTAGAATGACTAACAAGGTTATAAATGAGACAGAGAAAAAAAGCACACATTTTGTTTAAAAAAAAAAAAAATCAAGTTTCTCTCCCTTCTTCCAAGACTGAATAGACTGGATGCTGACTAGCATTCAATTAGCCTGAAAGTTAACTCTCATAAACGTTTATCTGACAGCAGATAAACAATTTTCCTGGAATGCTAAGTTGTTTCTCAGCTATTAGCACATTTAATGGGGAGTACATGAGGTTGATTGACAGCGTTAAGACCCGCCTCCTGGCTCCGATTGGTTGGTTTTGGCCAGGAGCGGTGCATTTCATCAAACTGCAATAGTAGCTCAGAAAGGAGGAGGAGATTAACCTTTTTCCAAATTATCTGTCTAATAATGCACTGTCATAACATGTTGACAGTTTTACTAAATATTTTTAAAAAATGTTTTTTTCTTAAAAGCTACATACTGCAGCTTTAAATCATTTTTAAATATTTAGATGTACATTTCTGAAGCTGTAATTCTAATTTACAAGTCAAAATTTAATGCACTCTGAAGTGAAATTGTCTTTTTATAAAAACAACAAAAAAAAAACAATTCAGAAAATCTTTGCCGGTACAGAATAATAATGAATCCAAAAGCTGCTAAGGAATACTCCAGCACCTGAAGGAGCTCCCACCCAGGCCAGTCCCAACACGCCGTCATCAAAATCCCTGTCTGTGAAAACGTAAGCCAGACAGTAATCATCATGGTTCTGCTCCGAGTTCAGCTCCAGAAACTTCTCCACGCCGATGTTGGCGAAGCGGAACGGGTTGGATCTGTCTCTCTCGTCATTGGTCGTGTTTATCTAGTCGGGGAGGAGGCGAACGGGTTGAGACGGGGATACGGAACCAAAAACGTCAGAGTACTTTACAGAGTCTGTTGGTGCAACTCACCCTGATCCGTTTCACCATGAAGCTGATGTTACGAATGCCCATGAAGTCTGTGCCCTGGTAGATCGCATCAATGGCTTTGACATGGCTGGAAATCTGCAGGTGGAAACAAAGCAGGATTTCCTTTAAATTTACTTTCCCCAGAGTAAAATTTAAGCACTTTTCAAGCATTTCAAAAGCAGGTTTTTTAAACTTTTCCCTCACCACACTTTACAGATAAAAACACCACAACTGAAATTTTAAAAAGACCATTTCAATTATCTATTACAGATCATTTATTATGTAATAAATATATATACTCTTGTAAGTGTTTTATATTTTAAAGCAGATATAATAAGATTTTAGGTTTTGAAATGTCTCTCACACACTTTATACATCCCACTGCTCTAAGATCTTAGAAAAAATTAATTCAACACAAAAAAAAAAAATCCTTCAATTTTAATAATGCTTTTTTAACAAGCCAACTTTTATTTCAGTAACATTATCAATAAGTCATTAAGCCATTTGGAATGAGAAATATTGATTACACTATGCATTTTAAGGAAAACAGGCTTCCTGCTGAAAATATATACAAAGAGATTTTTTTTTTAAATGTTTTCTGATATTTAACAAATGGAAATAATTTTGGTGATTCTTTCTAACCTAAAACAAGAAGGTTTAGTCCAATTTAACTTCAGAAAGTGAGATAAAAAATGGTTTGTGTCCATTTATTGGGTATATAACACTGTGATTAATGTTTCCCAAATTTACTTTTAATTGATTATATTACACTTTATTGCAAAACTATGCAGTCTGAATATGAATAACTTTCAAGGACTTTATACAAAAATAAAGCACTTTCCAAACCTTGGAAATCTAGTTGAAATTTAAGCATTTAAAATGATTTCAAACACTCGTACAAACGCTGTATGAAAATGTTCCGGCTTCTGGGGGTACTTCAGAGCGGATGAAAGTACGGCAAGACATCGTGTTATATATTCTCTTGTTTTGCAAAGCCTTATTGAACCTAATAATCCAGTTAAAAATGCCACCAGGGACGCTATATTTCCCTTGACAGAAAGCAGGAGGTTAGTGAAGCGCCACCTGGTGGAGTTCGTCCAAATCAATAAGTTCAGCTTTTAACTGAGAAGTTATTCAAATATGTATAAGTTTATGTTCTGCATTAACTTAGAGTGAATTAGCTCAAATAAGTAGAGCTTATGTTACATTTTTGTTATTTTCCAGTGATTTCAGATTTCACTTGAACATAATTTGGGTTTTATATAAATATAAATGCTACATCTAGTTTCCTTTCATAGCAAGAAGGGCCTTTTTTTTGGAAAAGGTAAAAAAACATATCAATTAAGCAACATTTAACTGATTTGACTAGACTGAAATCAAACTGAACAGGTCAGAGGTTTTTTTTAACTTGGAAGGATCTGGAACTGATACCTTTTTCTGTAGGAAGCTTATTTTAATGCCATAGAAATAAATCATTTATTTAAGGCAGAAATATGGTTGATTATTGGTGCCAATGTAAGAGAAGAAACACTTAAAAAGACAAATTCTCCCAAAACTCATTAAAGTGATGCTATAAATTGCTTGTATTTTAATAGATTTTTATATTTTACAGCCACAACGTCAAATCTCTCTTTACATGCTGCCAGAGTTTCCAATGTTTCTATGCAGGATAAGGTACTTTGTATTGCTGTCGTGTGGCTTACCTGAGCTATGACAGCTTCTCTGGTCTTATAGTATTTGAAGAAAAGATGGTCAGTCTGAATAAAGAGCTGGCAGGTATTTTTCTCCACCTGGGCCATCCTCTTCTTCCTCAGCAACACGGGGCCTTCAGACTCTGCTTCGGTGTGGAGCTCCTGATGTGAGGGGCACATGAGTCTTAGAGAGCTAAATAAAACATATTTATAGCTTTTTCATCCTAACAGTGCATAAATAAGTAATGGGAAGTATTTTTAGAGTTTCCCTCTTAAGCCACGACATATTCATAAAATTACAATGCAATAAAACCACAATCATAGCAAAAATAATTCCAGTAAATACAGATAAATTTTAAAAAATTAGAAGATAATAATTCACCAATTTAATTCACAAAGTGAAACTCATAATATTTAGGTTCAGTACACAAAAATAAAAATATTTGTACAAGTTTTAGTTTCTCTTAATTTTGCTGATTAAGGCTAACACGATTGACAGTTCTAATTTATTTTTAGTTTCTCTACCAAAGTCCGTTCTCACATACCGATCTGATAAGGAAAAACAGCTGAATTCACTTAAAATGTTTCTTTTTTTTTTAAACACAAACATAAATGTACTGAATTAGAAATGTATATGGTAACTCTGCACCAGTACAGCTCACTTAAATGAGGAACCATAACTGATTTAATGAGCCATTCGCAGTTTAACTGTACGGGCCGTGTGTACTTCAACTTGCATGGCTTAATCTTTGAGACAAGCATATGCTACTGGCAGGATCAACCACAAGCTACTGGTTAAACAGGTGAGACAACTTCAGTTTGTTCAGTCGGAGCAATCAGGACAATAAAAGACGATGTCAAATAAATAATAAAGACACTAGACAAAAACAGTAGGTTGACTATCTTGGTCAAACTATAACAAACCTTCACCATTAGGAATTCTAAATATAATGGCAAATAAACAATAAAGCATGACGTCACTCGGAGCACAAAGCATAGAATAAAGCTGAATAGATCCGCACTTATGGATCGGACACATGGTCACCATCGATCTAGAATTTTTATACTTTTATTCCCAATATTGGCCTCCGATACAAATATTAATATCGGATCGGTGCATCTGTAGTCAGAATCTGTAAACAGAAAACGTGTGCAAATTGCTCATGTGATTTTAATTACATGAGAAATGCAATTAAAATCACACATGAATAAGCCTGTTCATGCAAAAATGTATCGAGGTGATGCATGTAAATTCATGACAGCCATGCCACCAGCGCTCATCTAGCAGCATCTTATCTAGGCGTAGGAACTACAAGGTCCTCATACTTAGGAGTGGCTGTATTTATATGCAGCATTTTTAGAAAACTGTATTGAACAAATTTAACAGAACAGAGATAGAGTCAACACTCCAACATGACAAACTGAACTTTTGATGAACTTTTGATGAACTTTTGAAGAACTGCGATGCTGCGACAGTTCTGTAGGAGATCCAAGGAGAAGCTGCACGTTGCTGCTGCAGACAAACTGTTGGAAATGGTTCGTCGTGAAAGAAGTGTTTGTAAAATACACAAATTTTGATACGGCTGAAGCCCTACCTCATTCTAAAGTAAAAATTATTATTTTTTAATTGGAAAACATTGGAGATTTTTCTATATTAGCGTGTTTCAATTAAGTCAATTTATTTTTGCAATTCCAATTTCAATGGAAACGCAGCTGGTGTCTGTCAGGTGTACAACAGTGACTATGCAAACCATGACAACATTCCTGTATTAAAATCTTTTCCTTTAATAGGAAAAGATATTTTATGAATTTATACATCACTTTTCAAATTGAATATTATTTTTACAATATACTAATTTACAGAGACACTTCTGTGTCTTAACTATTTTATGAGCACTCTGTATGCACAGTTTAATTTGGTTAATAATGATTTTTCATGGGGCGACAAACAATAACTTCATTCAGTTACAACTACAATCAAATACAATCAAAAGAGCAACTAGTAGGACGGATTGTGAATTATTATTCAGCTCCTGGTCATTAATAATTAGAAATATTATTGAGTTGTTTTAGAAAATTATTTAAACAAAGGCTTCTAATTAATAAAAACTGCATTCATGTTTTAAATGGACTTAAGTGTTCATTTCTAAATGTATCTAGCTTTGTTTATTATTACTAATTTCTGTATTAGTAATACAGTTAGTAATAACACTTTCCCATATGTTTTGCTTGTTCGTCCACGTGTCAATTATTTATTTATTTGTATTTTTCACCATCAACCTGGCAGGAGGCTGCAGATGAAAATTAGCCTTTGTGGCTAAATCTGCCATATTTACATGGTTGTTTGAATTTACTCGTGTTGATTAATATGCACCTTCTCTTATGAAATAAATTCAAATTTATGGGAAGCTGCTTCACATAAGTGTAAAGATGTTTCACTGCCAGTATTGCAGCTTTGGCCAGACACCATTTTTTCTAATGGTTCCATTTAGTTGAAATGGAAAAAAATATATATTTTTCCCCGACTATCTGCTAAAGCAAAGGCTGCCAAGTATTAAGAATCAATATTTTTTGCAATAAACTCAAACCATAAAGGCATTTGAGCACTTATTCAAGCCATAAAATGACGTCACGTGTTTTTCTGCTTTTTATTAATTTATTTTATTTTCACCTTGGTTGGCTCCACTGTAGCAGAGACCTGATACTTCCTCATCCTCTCGAACACGGAGCTGTCAGCGCAGCCTCCCTCTGGGCCGTACTTGTGCGGATAGTCTGAGTGACAGAGGCAGAGACACAAACACTGTTAGGATTATAAAGACAATGTTAGCTACTTAACCCCCTGAGTCACTCTATTCCTGGTGCTATTCATGATCAGCTAATGGATGTACTTATACGCCACTTGATACGCCTCGCTTCAGCATGCGAGTCACTACTTTCCCGTCGCACTCATTAGCGATTCCTTTCGCAATCCTGTTTAATTTGCCCCACAGCAACTTGGTATGTGTTCACAGATGATTTGAAATTAAAGGCTGCTGCTGTAGTGAAGTGTGCTTGGTGCTCACTATTAGTACCGACATTGTGTGGAGAACATAAATAAGCCAGAGAAGGATTGTGTTATTCAGCTAATGAGCGCCCCGGGTATCTCTGCTCCCACGGGGGGCAATCACACCAGTCAGCCTTCATCTACTCAGCTGCCCTAACCTTGCACTTTCCCTGTTACGCATTTCCATGAAACAAATTACACATTAGATTCGAGGAAGTGATACTGTTGATTGAATGTGAGCAGGTGGAGAGTCTAGGGACTTACGTATGTCATCTTCGTGGTAGATGACTGAGTGAAACGGCACGTCTTTGTCCCCCAGGTATCTTTCGGCTGGTTCCACGTAGTAAGTGCCGTGGTAGCTCTGGATGAAGCCCTCAAACTTACCGTCCACAACGGAGCCGTGAGTCAGGGTGCCTTTCTCACCTGGGAAATCAAATCATGGCACTTTATAGTCAGTCTCACACGGGACAGGATGCTAAGTTATCACAGCATCTTGAAAAAATATTACGATGCACTGAAATATCAACGTCTCAATGGATTACCGTAGATTTCTCCGGTGTAGATATGAGATGTATCATACGGAATCTCTTCTCCTGAAACTTCTATTTTCAGATCTGGAGGAAATAAGTTTGTATCTCTTTTCATCCGTAAACTGAAATGCCTGAAATGACACGAGGAAATCGTCACAAAACAATCTGCACTGATTCATCAGTTGGATTAGCTCTATTATGCCTCTTTGAACGTGTCATATGGTCTATACAAAATATGTTCTTTACAGTTTCTGCACAAAATCATTCATAGACAATGAAATTGTCTATGAATCTCATTGTTCAGTTCTGCCTATTTTTAGCTGTTTTAGGGCCTCCTGTCGCTTTAAACCCAAATAAGCAGCTGCTGGTCACGCCCCTCGACTCAGTGTGAATACTTGCATGTGAAAGTCTGCAAACAAATTTGCAATTATACAACCGTACATCTTTGAAAAGCAGAAGCGGAGCCTCATGCACAACCAGTAAGAATCCAGCAAGTAGTTTCTGAAGTGCAAGTCAAAAATAAAACATTTGTCTTTTCCAGCAGCCAGTACAGCGAATACTGCAGTAAAACCAGCAGACCAAACGTCCTGGAGCTCAGCTTGCTGTATGTGCAATCACGTACAGCTAAGCCCAGTACGTGACATACTGTGCTTAGCTGGGGTTGCTAGGTATCAGCAGAGGTTTTTGAAATGGCTCATTTTCCAAACACCAAAAAATATAATTGGTACTGTTTTTAGAAGCACTGAAAACCCGAAGGGAAATGTAAAAGTGTAAAAACGCTTCCCCCTCGCCAGTTTCAGGGATTAGACACACAAAGTCAAATTTCTTTGAAGCTGTTTTTATATTTGCCGCATTTTCATAATAACTTACATTGACATAGATACTTGTGCTATGAAATGGAAAATACATAATACTCTCCCCATCCCTTCAAGAATGCAGTAATACGTGTTGGTCGATGTCATACTTTAACACTAATGAGAGTACTTCTCACACCAAGTTTAAATAGAAAACTGATCACGTTATAGATTGCTTTACATTTCTAGGGTAATATGATTAAACTAGAATCAAATGACTAAACTGGGGCATAAATGCTGAACTGAAAGTAACACAGCCTAACAAAAACAATCTCAACATGCATTGAAGCTGCTGTAATGTTTCAATGACAGATCTCATTTGAAAAATGGTTGATTTTTATCACATGAACTGCGGTTTCTGTTTCATACTCCACTCAATTGGCCAGTGTTTTCTTCTGACTAGTTGACATTGAGGCTGGGATTACACAAGTGAGTCTGAGTGCAATCAACAACAACAACAAAAAAAAGCACACGCACACACACCACTCAAACAGTCAGGGAGCCCAACCCACTGCTTTGCTGTAAACAAACCCCTAATTTCCACAACAAACGTTTTGCATCACATCCTGCAAGAAAACACTCGAATCTGGAAAACAAAATCAGATTGTTGTGTTGAAAAATATAGGTATGAATCAGAATTGAAGAAAACAATATGCTTCTTGTAGTCTTTTTAAACGAAAAAAATATATATCTGTGTGTTTGTTGTTGCACAGGTTTATATTTCAGTTATTTTCTTCTTTATTTAAGCAGCATCAGGGTTTATGAACAGTGAGTCTTGTTGTAGCCAGGATGATAAACAGTCCTTGCCAAGTTTCAAGGCAGATGGTGGTGACTTTGTGATGGAGTTTAGACGCCATCCAGCACCGCCACCTCCTCCTCAAAATAGGGACAAACTATATGCATCTTCCCATCTGTGAAATTAGTATTTATTTTAGATCTTAATGCATCTGCCTCTGCAATCACCTCCTGGACGTGCAATAAAAAAGCTTACGCTTAATCTGAAGCCCCAATAATATAAAGATACTATCACATATGGGGAAAAGGGCAGCAGATGTGCACAACTTAGATGATTAAAACCTTAAATGCTTCTTCTTATCTGGCATTTAACCAACTTATGAATAATCTCCAAAAAAATAAAAATAAACAAAAAAATGACTGAAGATTTACATTTAAAACCCATATTCACTTCACACTGCAAAAACACAAAATATTAACCAGTATGTTTGGTTTAGTTTCTAGTGCAAATATCTTAATACCCCTGAAATAACACAAGTTTTCAGTAAGAAATAAAAGCTTGTTTTAAGTCAATAATTCCTTAATATTGGTGAAAAAGTACTAAATCCACTGACATGGAAAAAATGTCTTGTAAGTGAAATTATCTCAGTGTAAAAACACCAAATCTTACCAAGTATTTTAGCCTAGTTTCTAGTGAAATGTCTTATTACACTTTTAATAAACCAAAATTAACATACATTTTTTTCTTCAGCAAGAAAGAGAAGCTTGTTATTTAATATTGGTTAAAAAGTACTAGTTCCATTGGAAGATAAAATTCCTTGAAGCATTTTTCACATGTTATAAAGAAATAGTCTGCCAATGGAACAGATAATTCTTTACCAATATAAAGGGATTATTTACTTAAACAAGTTTCTACATCTTGCTGATAACTTAGTTTTAAATAACTTTATTCTTAATTCATGTTAACTAAAATATTTGCACTAGACATGAGATTGTGTGTTTTTGCTTTGCTAGTGCTTTTTCATCAATAAAGGTATAAATTACTTAAAACAAGCTATTATATCTTGCTGGAAAGTTATTTGTAAGTTAGTTTTGTCTTATTTCAAGTGTACTAAGACATTTGTACTAGAAACTAGACCAAAAATACTTGGCAAGATTTAGATTTTTTTGCAGTGCAGATCTAAAATGTCCCCAGTCAGCGGGAGCAAAAAAAAAAAAAAAAAGAAGGTTTAATCTTAAAGCAAATCCCTTCTACTAAACCCTTAACCAACAACAATACGTACACAAGGGATTAGTTTGCAAACAAACAACACAAGGTCACAAATAAAGATCAACCAACCTTCCGTGGGCATGAAAATCTAAATGAAGGAACTTGTCTTCATGAGCGATTGCTCTCTTGGCCCGTTGATGCTTGCTGTGAATGAGCTCTGTGTCATAGGACAGGCCTTCATAATGACGGATATACTTGTTCAGAGGGTTCCTATAGTGTCCTGCGGGGAGAAACAAAACAAACGAACACACGTTAGGATGGATAGCCGCAATCATCTCCACCAATGTCAAGAATTGTTTCATAATTTAGACCCAAGTGCATTGGGTGCATCATGTTTTCCTCACAGAAAGATTTATTTCTATTTTTATAGGTTAATAAATACATTTTTATTTAAGTTAAAAACATATATAACTGATTATTTCTCAATGGTTGTATGAATAATATGGGCCACTGAGTAACAAAATGGACAAAAACACCCATAAGCTCATCTTTGAAAATAATTTTCAAGAGGTTTAATATTTAGTCAGACTTTACAGACGAAAAGCTAAAGGCAACCAATAGAAAAATGTGCTAAAAAGTGACCAACATCGACTGAATACTGATTTTAACGACAAGATTTTGTGCATTCCTGCTCAGTATTTGTCATTTTATTTAAAAGTTGCCTGATCTCAAATGGAGAATCAAAAACCTAATCAATGGAAATAAGATTTAATCTTGCATCAAATTCCTTCCACTAAACCTTTAACCACAAATAGATTGTCATCAACTTCATGCTTAACTACTAACTGAACTGATTTGTAACAGTTCAGTTGGCAAAGCAGTGAGTCCTTTAGAGCACAAGTGTCAAACTCAAGGCTCATGGCCCAAATCCGGTCCGCCATAGTTGTTTATGTGGCCCGCTAGATTCTAGACTAAACAAAAAGTGTGCTTAAATATTAAGTTATTAATCAAATAAATGCAGTTTCTAATTTCCTTGATAATTCTTGGGAATTATCATGGAAACTCATGCAAAAATCAACACTTTTTTGTGCTAATTTGAAAATTTTTCTCAAAAATTGTCAAAAACTTTTTTAATTGTGCTAAACAGCTGCTTTATTGATGTCACATTTAAAAAGTTACATTTACCATCAAAAATAAGCACAACTATCTCGAATATTTACAAATTAGTACCACAAATAATTTGATTGTTAATGCAAAAAATAATAATAATTACAAAAAGTATCACAGAATTCTGGACGGGTCTTATGGTGGGGCAGCTGGAAGTTCATTTTCTCAGGATGGCACTTTAGACACAACACTGGAAAGTCAAACTCCAGTGAGAAAAACATCATTAATGGCAAAAACATTGTGCTTTTGTTTTTTTTGCTTCGGTTTGCACTTTGAAAACAGCGTAGATAGAAGTTTCGACTGTTCAGGTTTAAGATTTAATAAAGTCCTGGACTGGGTGCAGAGAGTTATCTTGCACTACTATAGCCAATAGCGAATAAACACACAGCAATCAGTGCAAAGAGCATCACTTACTGCTGGGAAAACCTAATCTCCTGCAGTAAAATTGATCCTACTTTGACTTTCCACAAGTGTAGGGCATCTCTGTAGACAAATCTCATCCCCTGGTGATAAAAGACAGAGGACCATGAAAACTACCAAGCACTGACCTTTAAATGCTCTGCAGATACTAGTCGTCTGGCATCTGCAGAAATAAACTGTAATCCAGACAACATACAAATATCCCCATATACTTAAAGGTAGCCTATAACGCTACCTGAAATATGCTAAGATAGGTCTATCGGCTATAAAAAAAAAAACATGTTAATTAAATTTTTTTGCACAAAATTTTAGTTTGCTCAATTCTGCCTTTTTTGAGCTGCTTTATAATAAGTTTTTTTAGGGCCTCTTGTCACTTTAAAACCAAGAAAGTGTGACCAAGCCTTCAAAACTCTACTTTTACACTCCAACACATGAAAATGGCTCTGGAAAATAGATACACAATTATACAACTACAATTGTTGTATAATTGTACATCTTTGAGAAGCAGAAGTAGAGCCTTCTGCACAACCAACAAGAATAGTTTGACCCGGTGCTATTGGTGCTATAACCCTGGTTGTTTTGCATTGAGCAGGATACGTCACGTAAATCGAATTCTTGCTAAAGCTGCCCAGGCGATCTTCCCAGCGACCGCAGAACAGTTTTCTTCTTGGGTATCCCGTCACATTTTCTCTGTATGCACTCATGAGCGAGGAAGCTGAGGGAAACATTTACCTCAGCTTCACATTTAACAAAAAATAAATAAATAATAAATAAATAAATAAATAAATGGACCAGCTGAACTGCTAACTCCAAGCTGGCCCGGTCTGGCCAGCCTGATTGGAACCACACCTCTCGGGGTTCCAGGGAGCGGGGTGGTACTGGGCTGGAATGCTAATGCAAAAACGATCAACCCGGGTCCAGCGGTGCAGTGCAAAAGGGGCTCAAGAGACAGACTGGGTTTCTTTGGGGTTGCTGGGTAAAAGTGAAGTGTGACTCAATAATTAAAAAGTTTTTGAAATGGCTCATTTTCCAGACACCAAAACACACTAAATCATAGCCAAAATGTTGTTTTTTTATCGCTTGGGATGCTTTTAGAAGCAATTAAAACCCAAATGAAGTACAAAATATTAATTTTACATAATATGTGCCCCTGTGTATGAATTGTCACAGCATTTTGGCTAAATGTTGTATAAGTAGTACAATTCTGAATGTGTTGGGGATGATCCTATGACAGATACTTGGAGCACAGGATTAAAATGATGGAAATCTACAGAAGCTCTATGGTCTATATTTTAAAGCTGAGCTGAATCTATTAAAATCAAGTAAGTGGCAGCTTTGGAGCTACACTCATCTGCAGAAGCTGCAGAATTATTTCACCACCAGAGGAGTGGGAGGAGGATATGAAGGCAAGTGTTTCTCATGCATATCCACCCATTTCACATTTAAAAGCAGGCAGAAGTCAATCCACAGCAACAAAAATGTGTTCGAATTAAAAAAAAAAAAAAAGCTGGAAGATTTTTTTTATTTGTTGTTAATATAAAACAAGCAAACCAATTGATTACATAAAGCAGGCAGCTTTCCCACTGCATTCCTAAATGACACTACTTTCATTAAACAGACAATATGTAATTAGAGCTGTCTGGTAGGTAATTAAGCCTGACTAAAGAACTATAATTTACTGTAAATAAAAGACTGTGTAACAGAGACATATAAATGCTCCAGATTTCAGCCGCTTCACTGTTCATAAGCTGTATCAAATATTTAGGTGATAACATTAAATTTTTCATTGAGGTGACTGTGAGAAGTAAAGAATGCCTGGAATTACCTCATTTGCTCAAAAATGCCAGAAAGATTAAATAATAAAACAAAGACGCCCTATTTAGTAAAATCACAAGATTTTGATAAAAGGGCATGTGAAAGTTGTGACATTTAAATTGATGGTTGGGTCCCAAACAGCTGTAAAATGATTTAGTTGTTTCATTTAAGATTTTAAACAGCAAATAAATAATTCTGTACTTAATGATTAACAACAACTTTTCTGAATTCCCACAGAGAGGAAAAAGTTGTCTGAGCTCATTTTTGACTATTATTTGGCAAAAAGTTTGGTTAAAAAAAAAAAAAATAATAATAATCCAGTGTTGCATTTGTCCTTGTGAAGTGACAATGTTCAAAGTACATTCTCTTTTGTGAAATACTGAGCTTGAAACTCATTAATGAAGAACAAATCCTTTGTAACAAGAACACTGACAATTTCACCTGATGACAAGCAAATAGAAGTTTGAGAACAAATTACTCACATAGCCAATATTCTTGCCTTTAACCTTAAAACAAAAAAGGTTCTGCACATATTAACACCATGTTTTATATTTTGTTTCATTCTTAACTAACTCTTTTTCTCCATGTACTTCACATAACAGGTAATCTTCTAACAATATATTTATGTAGATATTTTTATACCTTCACATATTTATATTAATATTTATCCTTTCACAGATTTGAGTGGTTATTTTTGGGGATTTACACCCCTTTAAAGAAATTTTAGTCTATTCTTTTTTTCAGGATTGTTTCACTTTCTATCATATCGATTCTGACAAGGCAACTTTATTTTTTTTAGCCCCTGAGAGACAGACTTTCCAGGTTGTTTTGGATCAATGTCCCTTTTGCATAATGTGCATTTGAGCTGTAAAATCCCTAAATGATGGCGAGACATTTACTTTTATGATTTACTGGAAGAGAGCAGAATCCAGTACAGATAATTAAGCATGGTTTTCTGGAATACATTGGATGTAACTGGATGCATTCCTTTCAAAAGGTTCCACTTCAGGGCCCCTTGTTCTCAACCAACAGAATAATTGTTGCAGTGGCAAGCCTAGTATCAGGCAACTGTTACTACAATCCAAACAGTGCTTTGCAACACTGAAAACTTCTGAGGTGATATATTTGTATGATCTCCTGGAGGAGCGGTCCAGAACAAGTTCTGGTTAAGGTCACCACTGCACCATGTTTTCTTCATTTCTGGCTCTCATTTCATGGAAGATTTAAACTGTCAAAGGTAGGAAATAAATACAGACGCACAATCCAGTTAAAATGAGAACTTTTATCTTTTATATCTCATTGAAATTGAAATGTAAACATGTTCTTGTTTAAATGGGAACGGTTGTAAAAGTAAAAGGGCAGCATTTCGTGGCAGTGTCGTCTGGAAGAAAGAGTGAGAAGTAAGAAGTATTTCTGGTAAATGTCCAGCATTTGTACAATTTGAACTTTTTCAGTCATACACACACTGATTGTGCCAAACAATCGCGCCCTCAGACCACCACCAACAAGAGACAAGGTGGGTTTAGTGTCTTGCCAAATGACAGAATGACTGAGACGGATGACAATGGGCTTCAAACCAGCAACCCGCAAGTTACAGCGCGAATCTCTTCCTCCTGAAACACTGCTGACTCCACATTTTATGTGTTTAAAACATGAATGTTTCTCAAATGTGAATTTATTTCCTTATGGCCATTTCCTAAGCTGGAGACACAAAGTCTTAGAAATGGCTTCATTGCCCCTTTACAGATTACAGGCCTACTTCATGATGTCTGACAGGTTCGTATCCAGGGTAGAAAGTAATTAGTCCTGCTTATGGCTACATGAGTACAACTCAACTTTCCAAAAATGTAGTTATTCACAATAAATATAGGACTTAATAACTAAAATCTCCATCTTACACCATTTTATGTGTACCCTGTTTATATATTTGCCGCTTTGAAATAAGCAAATATGACAAATAAGGAGGCAGATGCTATTTCACAGCCCTGTACGCTGTTAATGTTTACAAAATAGCTCCTAACAATCTCGATGAGCAATCACATTGGCAATCCCGCGCTGATTCTTGTATTTATGTTAAATTATAGTGATGCCTGCATGAAATAACATTAACCAAACAGTACAGGAGAAAATAAGCCTGGAAGCATCGGGGTTTTGACAAAAACAGCTAACTTTAGCGGCTAGCTGGAACGTTAGCACCGAGCTAACGGTCCGTTAACCCAGTCGGCTTCTACATCTTCTCATAACAATGGCTGTCGGCTCTATTCGCACGATAACAACAGAACCGGGGCCGAAGCCGACGACATACAAAAACAAACCAGTGACAACACAACAGAGACGACTCTGCGTTGTCGGTTTACAGCAACAAACTGCGTAAATCCCCGTCGGCTTTGACGCAACGCATCTTTTGTTAGCTTGAAGTGAGAAAAGGGTGCAGTCCTGTTCACAACAAGCAGGCCCCGCTGATCCCTCTCTGTTAGCTAGCGGGCTATCGGGATTTCTGCTCCCTCTCAGCTGCCACAGCTACCGCTTCGCGTTTTCCTCCCACTCCCGCGAAGATTTCTTCCCCAAAACGCCCCACTCACCTTGAGTGTAGTTCAGCAAGTAAACGAAGAGGAAAACTTTGAGTGGAAGCGGAGGTGACAAATCCATTGTTAGAGCATTGATACCTATTTCACTTTATTGTCCTATTTAGATAGGCGCAGACGCCCTGTGTGTTTATTGCAGCTTCCGCTCATCGCCTCCTCTCTCCAGCTCCAGCGTCGTGCCGTCACACGCAGGGCAGCTGGGATCCCTTCCCCCAAAAGCCTTCATGATCCTGAATGCATTTCTGCACACCCAAGACCCAGCTCTGACTGGGATGAATCCACCATTACAGGAAATATTTACACCAGTTACCATTTCTACTGGCGCATTATATTACATGCGAAGAGATGGTAAAGCACCTAAAGGTTGTACCCTAGCAAGATATTTATACTCAAGTTAAAGTAAAATTACTCAAGTAAAAGTAAAAAAGTATTTGCTAAAAAGGTGATTAAACATTTAATATTTACAAATTACAATCGTCAGCTGGACCACAATGTAAAGCTAAGTGGAAATTTTGGTATTTTGAGGACAAAATGACAATAATTCACATGAAACTGATAGGTAATAATAAAATTACTCAATTGAAAGTAAAAAGTACAGCATAATGACTCATAATACTCCTAAAAGTTTTTTGTTTAAAAAAACCCCCCAAAAAACTCTGGTAACTAATCAAAACAATCGCTTACTATTTAAAAATTACATAATCAACGGACCAAAGTGTAAGGTGAAGTGGAAATTTTGGTATTTTCAGGATGAAAATAATAAAAAAAAAATTTTAATTCGTTTTCTGTTACTAAAACACATACGTGACATAAAATAGTGAAATCAGGCACAAGGACATGTAATCAAATCAGTTTGTTTCAATATGGACTTCATTAAATTTTAACAAAAACTGCAGGCTTGTCTGTGTTTGGTGAATTTTTGGTTAAAACATGTTTGTTCTTCATTCAGTGAAGTTACTTACAGTGGATAGAAGATAAAATTTACTCCAATAAAAGTACCAATCCATCTTTATAAAATTACTCAAGTAAAAGTAAAAAGTGCAGCATAGTAAAAATACTTCAAAAATTTATATTTTTTAAATGTCCTCAAGTAAATGTAACCGGTTACTACACACCTCTCTATGTGTGTCTGTTAAATCCAAATATATTGCACTTGGAAGGAAAATATACTTTTTGAAATTAATTGTAAGATATTTCTTTAGAAAATGTATAAACTATGACCTATCAGCAAAAACACAGGTATTTATTTCATTATTAGGACACTGTGTGCTTGGAGTCATAACAAACTATTTCTCTGTTTTTATGATCTAAATTTATCCCCACAGCCGCCCACCCACCTACCTACACTTACTCCCGTTATTAGCTGCATGGTTGTGCTGCGAGGAACTGGTGTAAATCTGTTTCAAGAGATCATATCCAGAACAAACAAAAACAGTGAGAAATCACTTATTTAAAAAAAAAAATCTGACCTTTTCATTTTTGAAGTAATTATGAGAATAAATTGCACATTAATTACACAAACTGTTTTATAAATGTATAAAAACAACCCTCAGACTTTGTCTTTGGTACCAGCTGATATTTAATACATGAGTATCAAATCAGCATCATTATAGGCAATTAACACAGTAATTATTTGAAGGAGAAACTCATGGAGTTGATGCAGATTAAGCTGCCAAAGAAAATGTGATTTGTTTTAGTTGCTTGGTAACCTGACATACTGATGATACATGTTTCTATTGTAATAGAAGAATAAAGGTCCTCCTGGTGGTTGTATCCATTCATGCATTAACTCTAATTATCTGCAAACTGTCTGCCTCTGATTATCTCTTCTCTCTGCTATGATGCTCATCATATGGTGTATTTTATAGGGCTAGTCAGAAGGTCACATCTTCTCATCACTTACATAAAATATTTACTTCAAGGAGTTATTTTTTTCCCCAGAATGGACAAGATTTTTAGTTGCTAAAATGAAAGAAAAAGACGTTGGTTGAACAATTTTGACAGTTTTAGTCTCCCATAACTATTAATTTGTACACAAACAGCTTAAGATGTGTACATTCAATTGAGAAAAACTCATTTTGCACTCATCAACAAGCTTCAGAAAACAATAGCAGCTTGTTGATTTCATTGAGTTTTTCCAAAATTATTAATGCTAGTCTGCCTCATTCATTCCAAAACCAGTTGGATGTTTGATCATTAACCTCTTGGCACACTCAGATGCTTCCAGGTTTGAACCATCTGATTAGGATTGCAGTTTTTTGCCGATCGCCTATTATTGATCTTTCAAAAGCCTGATTTTACCCAATACCAATTTTTTTTTTGTTTGAAATGTCGCTAAATATGGGAAGTAAGAAAAATGGTCACCATGATTATTAACAATCCAGAAACTCACAAGTCAACCTCAAACTGGAAGCACCACTGAAAGGTTGCCAACCAAGAAGGAAATGTCTGCATTTAAAATAAGAGATTCGAATTTGACTGAATTTTAAACCGGCCCAATATGGAAAAGCAAAATGCTTCTTGGAGTAAATTTTATGGTCAGATAAGAAACAGATGGCACTCTTCAGGCTTTCTAGCCTAAAAATACTGCGTAGCATGGTGTTGGTAGCATCATGGTAAGGGTCTGTTTTTCTGCTAAAAGGCATTAGAGCATTTGACAAGGTAATTGGAGTAATAAAGACCACTTTTTCTTAATTTTTACATTTAAAACCAACAATTGGGTGTGGAAACAGTTTGGCGTTTGAGCTGGAAAATGAACCCAAAAAAGCAACAAAATTATACAGCTTAATGACTGCATGTGAACTCCTGACTGGGAGTTTATGATAAACGCAATCAACTAATTAGAAGTCATGATGCAGATGAGGGAAGACACCAGAAATACATCAAGTAAGAACACTTATGATGAACAATATAAAAGTTAAAAGTTACCAGTTGTGTTTAACATATTTTTTAGTATGTATCAAAATATTCTTCAGGAAAATAATATTTTGGGAGAAATTACACAAACATTTCTTTTTCCTTTTTGGAGCTTGTTGCCAGGATGTTTCTGTTTTGGCAGATAAATGTGTCTCAGTAGAATCTATTTGCTTATTTCCTGCAGACGGGCTCCGGTGGCCGTCACATGACAAACCTCGACGTCGGCCCCGAGTTTCTGCAGCTCATCCAACCAGATCTGCTGCTTCTGAGACAGACGATCGTTGGGCCCCTTCACCTCCACCAACTATTAGAAGATTTCCGATATTCAGATATAGCAGAGGAATTTATCAATCACAGAAGAAGATTAGGGCCACTGGCAAGACATCAACCTGACTTTTCTTTTCTTAAAAATTTAGATTTTTTTCCTTCAGAATTATGACTTTAATCTCAGCATTATGCGAGATTAAATCCTGAGATTTTACTAATCTCGGAATTCTACTTTTATTTCTTCCTCAGAATTCTGAAATTTTTTCCCAGAATTTTGAAATTTTTCCGGGAAAATTTTTACGCATTTCTTTTCCTCAGAATTCTGACTTTAGTCTCAGAATTAAGACCTCTTTACCTCAGAATTTTCCCTTTAAATTTGAGAAACAAGTCAGAATTGGGGATCTTTTTCCACTGGGTCTAATCCTCTTCCGTAAATGTTACACACAGCAAATTCGGCATCAAACCAAGCAGGGATGGTTTACCCTCAGGTGATGTTACCTTATAAGTGTTGTTTGAGGTGTTCCACACAACAAGGTCAGGCAAACCTCCTCTGCAGTGTCTGTAGTCTTTTGCCATTCGGTCAATCACTCCACCAAGGAAAGCTCCACCGAGACATGCAATCAGAGACTGTAAACATTTTACTCTGTTAGATTCAAAGAACAAAGCAGTCAGGGAGAAATATACCAAGTGTAGAACATCACACAGTCTGCCAAAGCCATCATCTAAAAATGGAAAGAATCAGCTAAGAAACCGTGAATTGAATAAAACTAGCTCTACATTTCCTTCTGCACCATTCCCAAGTGAAACACGGTGGTGGCAGTATCATGCTGTAAATACCTCTGCCTGTTGGAGGGACGAGAAACGCTCCCAGTTGACCAGCGAACACACTTTCCCCTCCTGAGATGTCCAGACATCTTCCAGCATGGCGCACAGAGTTTCCACAGAAGCTTCACAGAGCAACTGAACGCGAGAGATTATAGCTTCCCGTCTGTTTTTATAGAAACAGTCGGTGTACAGATCCAAAGGACAAGTCTGGACAGAAAAGAGAAACAAATAAAAAAGTTAAACTTTTATGGGCTTGGTTTAGGGTTGGATGATATGGCTGAAAAAATGTGTCCACACATAAGTGTTTCATATCAGTCTAAATTGATAATTATTGATTAGTTTTTTGTTTTAAATATTTGAACTACTACCAAACTGGTAGCATGTCTTTTCCTCTTTTATCCAGTTTTTCCTCCATGCTGTTTTGTTTATTTTAAAGCAGTTTTATGGCTCAAGGTTGAGAAACATAAAACTGCTGCTGTGCAAGTTACTCGGCAGGTTGCTGCTAGTAAACCAAAGAGTGAGTGACTGAGTTTCTAGGTAACCAACGAACAAATGAGCTTAACTGACAAGTCAGTTTATTTCCATATTTGCATTTAATTTCTTTAAAAAAAAAACAACAAAAGTAATAATACTAGTTTGTTTTTCGATACGTTTGCCTTTTTAAATTTTCACAAAAAAAGATCTATTCTGTTTTTGCTAAATTTTAAATGCATCTTCATTTTAAATCCTAAAAATAGAAATAAAATCATGGTTCTTGAAATATAACAACAATTTTCCTAGTAGGATAGAAGATATTTATCTAAAATTATATGTTGTCTTTATTTAAAAGGCCATATGACATTTAAACGAGTTTCATTTGGCTGACCTGAGAGTAAAAATGGCTGGTTAGGTCATAAATGTTGTGGATCCCTGGATTAGTCGTTCCTTTACCTGGTATGGATTTCTGAAGACGTCTGGAATACCTTCCATAAAGATAATGTCCCACATCAGGAGACCAAACAAGGTTGAGAATGTTGATCCTTCTCCATGGATTCCTTACACACAGAAGACAACGTTCTACCTTTTTTCTAGAAGTTTCCTGCATTTTTTGGGGGATGGGGGGTCGCTGTAAATGGCTTACCTTGGTCAAAGCCTAGTTGTCGGTAATGTGCCAAACTAAGCTCTTCTACAGAGCATATTACAATCGAGCGACCACTCCCGTCTCCTTCATCACTTTCTGGTAAAAGAAATCTAGATTTTCCCATGCCGCCTTCATGAGGAAACAGCTGACCCCGAATGGTCACCTGGAAAGAAAGTTACAGAGAACTCAGAATTTCTTTTGTTCAATAAAATATATATCACATATTAGCACACTGTAGACAGACTGACATGTTTAACGTCTTGAATTTGGAGCGCAGGAAGCTCTCTGAGTTGGAGCCGGTACTTTTTGCAGCTGGGAGCGTCTTTCATCCGGAGAGCTCTCTGATGGAGGGCGAGTTTGTGTCCTGTGCGCACCAGAGGGTCTGACAGCCCGTCCCTCATAGCACAGATAGCCTGAGAAGAGAAATGATGGAAAAAACACCCCAAAAAACACCATTCTGAAATGGTTCAGGTAAATCTTACACACACAAAAATAAACAAAACAAAGCCATTTTTGGTGTCAGGAAAATGAGCCATTTCAGTTACATTCAACAGGCACCGCGCCATTACCTAGCAACATATTTGGTCAGCTTGTTTCACCGCTGTATGAGAGACCAATTGCTGCAATGTTAATGTTGTTACTCGTACAGGAGGCTCTACTTCTGCTTTTCAAAGATGTACAGTTCTATAATTGGACATCTGTTTGTAGTCATTTTTATATCTGAGTGTAAACGTTGAGTTGGAGGGCGTGGCCAGCAGCAGCTGCTTTAGTTTTAACCCTATAAGACCTGACGGAGTGCTGGGGATCCAGCCAAATTTGCAGTACCGTACTTTCGTGACACGTTAAGCCATCTGAAAAATTTCAACTAAGAAATTTTCTGAAAGGGGAGACGTTGCGCTTTCCAGCCAATATCGGGTTATTACGGTAATTTCACCTCCAGGAGTGAAATTAATCTGATGAAATACTCTTTTAATACGCGGTAAATTGCGAAAATAACTGCCAGATATTGAAAGTACCAGTTGTTGTGGATGAATGGGCAAATCTATTTACTCACAGGGCATTTGAAGAACTGCAACTGTTCTGAAAATAAGCAAAAACATCCAGGCGGAGATTTGAAAAGTAAGTCATAAAGGGTTTTAAAGTGACAGGACGTCCGAAAACTGCTCATTTTGAAAGGAACTCAACAGAGGTAGAATTGATCAGTCTAAAATCTTCTTATACAAGAATGACTTAGTGAAAAATGGACATGTTTTGCATAGCACATAAACTTATTAACTAGTTAAAGGAAGCATAGTAGGTCACCTTTACAGCTTTAAAATGGATGTTTGCTGCAGCCTCAGTAATACCCATTACCTTTCCTACAAACAACAACTTCATTCACTGGAGCAGCTCTAATCTGCAAGCGTCCTAAACTGCAACGACTTTGGCACAGTAGCCTTTAGCGCTAATAGGATATACACTCATCGCGTGGTAACACTGCAGGCAGAGCAGGGAATTTAAATTACAGGGATTGCATCAGTCAGCATTAGTGTTTGTAAAATATAAATAAAGTTTTTTTTATTATTTATATGGGTTGTAACATCTGAATGTTAATATAAACTAAACAAATAAATGAACATATCTGTTTTTTGCTTACTTGATCAGGTTTTTTGAGGTGCTGGTGAAAGTTCAGAGCCAGCCTGTCCCACCATCGGCCCCGGCTGTCAGGACAGTAAACGGCCTGCTTTAGCAGGGCCTGCAGCTCTTCTACTGCTTCCTGTTTCATAACAAGAGAGAAATACTATCATTACCAACACAAGGTTTCTAAACAGTAAAATTTATACTCTGTTCAAGTATTTTGAATGTAAGTTTTCAAACTTTTCCAGCACTTGAAGAAAAAAACAATGGAAATGTACAAAGACAGTTTCAATTCACTATTATATGGTATTACTCACTACAATTATCAATAATGTCTTGTTTAGTATTCTACGTTCTACAGCACTGGCAAAATAAAATGAAATATAGCAAGGCTTTCTGGTTTGAAAAGTTTCTCTCACACCTGACTGCTCTGAGAACAAAACACAAATTAAAAAATAAAAATCAGCTATTTCAATAATTGTTTAATTTAAACAAAACCTAAAACAACCTTTATTTTAACTGTACCGATCAATAAATCACTGAGCCATCAGGAAGATTAAATATAACAAAATAATCAAAAAAAAAATCTCGCAAAAGTTTTGTGGCATTTAGCAAATAGGAAAAAAAAGGTATTTCTAACTAACGAAACAAGAAATTTTTCTCTGATTTAACTTCAAAGAATGAGAAAAAAATGTTTTATTGTATGAAAATATCTGGTTTCAACTGTAAATAACCTGTTTCCATTTGATCAAGTGTTCAATTACACTTTATTACAAAACTGTTCAGTTTAAATATCAAGCACTTCATACAAAAATTGCAGCATCTTAAAGGATTTCAATATATGATCCCTGCTGACGCATTTAGCGCCATAAACAAAACCAATTTGAAAAACAGGCAGAAAATGAATGCAGATGAACCTCATAGCGACGGAGCCTCTGTAAAATCTCCACTCCTCTGGATAAGATCCGCGTGTAAGCCCACCCTGTCGTAAAGCTGCGGAGGAACACTGGCAGCTCTTCCTGGTGACTGGATGAAAATTACAATGTCAGCAAACATGAATTCTACAGAAATAGTACCAACGAAGAAGCCATTTAAAGTCCTGACCTCAGGTCATGCTTGCTGTTGAGCTCAATCCAGGTTTTTTTGGCAGAAGTGTAAAGCTGCAGGGCCTGATCCCACTGACCCCTCTGCATCGCCAGGGTGACTTCTATCAGGGCCCGCATGGACGCTTCATACCTGGTGCAATGCAAAGAGTCATAAATATAAACTTCAGCCTTTTGTGCTGAAAGAAATGCAAATAGCATTTACATCCCACAAAGTTTTAACTTTGCAATAAACAAATATTTTATTACAATTTTATGTAATAGATCAACAAAAGGTGGATAAATAATTGTGTACTATAAGAATAAAACTATACATTTTTTTTACAAACTAAAATATAAAAAGTAGGGCTTTAACTAAAAATTATTGTAGCAATTGATTATTTATTTCTTTTAAGAGCTTAAGGCTTTTTATACAATTTTAGAAGAACAGTAAAGACGCAAATAAACAAATACTTTTGATTTTCTTTTCTAAATAAGAAAATATATATTTTATTGTTTAAAATGCAACAACATAGTATGCCTCAAGTGAATTTGCTGCTCAAGAGGTTTGGGGTAAAACATACACAACGGTGTATTTTTATCGTAAAGTCAAAATGTATAAATATTTTGTACTATTTTGACTAAATTACAGCTCTGAAGATGTTGGGCTTTCACCAAATGGCCTTTTTGAGTCTGTAAGCTCCTGTTAGTAATGAAAATTACTAACTTAGTCATTTTGAGTACTAAATTAGTTGACAATTAACTCAATAACCAATTAATCCGATTATTTTTTTCTTCTGAACAGATCGCTTTCCTCCATGTTTGCTGCTTCCCTATCAGGCAAACTGCAAAAATGACTTCATATAATATATATTTTTTTTAAATGCTAATTTGAGATTCTTAAGATGACAAAATGTGACTTCAACAGGTAACTAAGAGTCTGCAGATCCTCACCCGATGAGATCCTCTCTATCTCGAAACACTTTGGCCTCTCGCTGCACGGTGTAGTCCGGAAAGGCCAGACGACCCGAGTTCACCAACAGGATGGTGAAAAGCTGATTCTGACCTCCAGCTGCCATTTCCTCCTCGTCCATCGTGTCCGTCAAAGAGAAGAGCAGCAGGATGCGGGAGAAGACGGCCCGAGGCCCGCGAGACAGACGCACACAGGAGCCTGCAAGCTGCTTCGCCCTTTAAATAAAAGAAACAAAATTAATCTTAAGATTACTTCTAGCAGCTTTTTATACCCCAAACATCAGATTTCACATGGTTCCTACTCTTTTCCCACAGTAAAAGTGCTTGAAAAGTTAAAAAGGTAAGTTTTCACATTTTCCACCTCCACACTTTGGAGATGAGAATAATGCAAATGTACTAAAGAACAGTTTCAAATAACCATTATGTTATACTTATTACTATTTTGATAAATCGATAGTATTTTACACATATTACTAGATAGATCAATTTTATCATAGACTCAAAGCCCAAATTATATAAAAAAGAAAACAATATTTATTTATTTCTCTTAGATCAATAAGTCAGTCAATCACTGGGAATAATAAATATTAATTAGGCTGAAACAATCCAAAATATGTAAGGCAAATGGCTCCAAATATATAAAGAAAGTTACAATAATAATAATAATAATAATAATAATAATAAAATGCTAGGTTTTTTGACATTCAGCAAATAGAAATATTTTTGGTGATTCTTGCTAATCTAAAAGAAGAAAATTTAATCTAATTTAATTTCAGACAAGCAGTCAGAAAAAAATGTGTCTGTCTTTATTAGGTGTATGAAAATATCTGGTTTCAACTGTAAATATTTAGGCTTTTAATCAAACTGTGCTGCTTGAATATCAAGTACTTTCCAAACTCTGATAACTCTCAAGAAAAATTCAAGCATTTTCAAGTATTTTGGTCACTCAGACAAACCCTAATCTCACCGTTTCAGAATAACTGTCCCAACTTTGCTTTGACTGGAGGCTGGAGAGAAGAAAGACTTCTGCCTGCTCAGACGAAGAAGCCCGTCGACCAGCTGCTGTTTTTGGGTGCCAGAACAGCCCAGATGGAAAGTCTTAGCAAGAGCTTTGAGTTCAGGAGCCGGCAGCAGATCCAGAGCCTCCACAAGATCCTCGAGGTCCTTTTCTTAAACAGAGACGTTCACAAGAAAAATCAAAGTTCTGAAAGCATTTAGAAGGTCCTAGTCAAGGTTTAATTGGACGGATTACTCACCTGTCTGTAGAAAACCTAGCTGAACCAGTTCCTGTGCAACAGATCCCAGATCACTGCAGATCTCTCCATAATCCAGTTTATTTACCTGCAGCCACTTCAGTTTCCTCTGAAAGAGCCTCACATACAGCTTCTGAGCCATAACTGGGAGATTCAAAAATCATGACAGTGAGTTACTGGTTATGCTTTGACAGAAGCAATTAATCTGAAACAATTATCAACTAATTTGGTAATCAATTAATCATTAACTGGGGTATAGAGACTCATAAAAGCATCAATTATTAATTGGCTAATCTAAAAATAATTAACATATAAGCCTTAAACTGTATTGATGTTAAGTCACGCAGAAAGGCCTGATGTTAAAAGTATTTTTTAGCTGTAGATGCATTCTTTGCTACAAATTACCAAGCTTTCACTAAAGGAATTATTACATTTTAGGTAATAACATTTTTTCTTTCTTATTTAATAAAATAACTATAATTTGTTTCAATGCACCTTTAACGTATTGTATAAAAAAAAAGACTTAATTGGCTGAATAAAAAATCTGCAGAATGTGCTATTTTTAATTAAATTGGTCGATTAATCGTCAGAATAATCGATTGTTAAAATAATTGTCAGTTACAAAAATATACCTGACAAGCTCTGAAATCCATGTACGGCGGACATGTCCTCCTGGTTGAAGAGCATCGCGTCGTCCTCGTTCTCCAACACCGCGTGCAGCACGGTCCGGAAGTTACGCAGGTAGTAGGGAAGTGATTGGGCATCGGAGGTTTCTACCTTTACATCTGCATCAGACAGCTCCTCTGAACTGAAAGGCTTGGCAGATTCCTGTCCTTCCATCTGAATGTCCTCCGGATCAAGACGAGTTGATGATTCTCCACTGCTGCCTTCATATTTCGCTTTCTTTCTGATCAGAGATCCCTTGGCCCTAAAGGTGGCTTTCTTTTTTCTCTTCATTTGCTTGGCCGGTGAAGGCGGCTGTTCAGATGAAACCATTGATTGGTCTGATTGTTTTTCTGCAGGTGGCGATGGAGCTTCTGTCACTGCAGAAATACAATCATTGCTGTCTTCTAAAGTCTGGACATTTTCCTTTTGGGAGCTGCTGGATGAGCTCATCGGATCAGACGTGTTGCAAACCTCTGCATGTTTCTTGTGATACTTTCTGGATAACTTTGAAGACAGACTTCCTAGGTCAATGCTTCTGACCACAGTTTTGTTGTTTATGTCCCGTGGAGTTTGCTGGGAGTTATTCTTCTTAAAATACGGACTCGTTTTGGTTTTTGCGTCCTCTTTCTGGTCCTGCTCCGGGGACTTTGACAGATCGCCTCCAGGTGACAGCTGGAGCCCTGAATAATCATTCCTACCTCCAGAAGCTGCAGTGCTGTCTCCTCTATCAAATTTCTGACACTGCAGATCGATATGATCATTGATCTTGAATCTTGGGACTAATTGTCCACAGAGGGGACAGGCCAGGTTCGGTGGAGGCTGGCTGCTGAAGAAGTTGGTGATCGGAGTCCCAGCTTTAGCATCGCCTTTCTTCTTCTTCAGTGACAAGCTTCGCCTCGGTTTGTCGCTGCTTGTTCTTTCTGTCATGCTGAGCCGATCCAATAAAAATGACCTTTTCTAACGTTTCACTTTGCTGCATACTTCGGGAAAAAATAAATAAATGTAGTGAAAGCTACAAGGACCGCAACTGAATACTAACTTGCAGAAAGCTTACACAACAAATAAACATAGCTTTTCTGGTGGTGTGCTAGCGGCATTGAATGTAATGTGGCATTCCTTACTGAGCCGAATCAATATGCCGGTTCTTTTAATAACGGTTGACGTGAATTAGTCATACTACCATTATATATATATATATATATATATATATATATATATATATATATATATATATATATATATATATATATATAAATTTTTTCATAAATAAATGTATATATATATATATATATATATATATATATATATATATATATATATATATATATATATATATGTTGTTGCATATATATATATATAATTTATATAGTAGGGAAGTGATTGGGCATCGGAGGTTATATATATATAATTTATATATATATATATATATATATATATATATATATATATATATATATATATATATATATAAATTATATATATATAAAAAAATTTTCATAAATAAATGTATATATATATATATATATATATATATATGTTGTTATATATCTATATATATAAAAATTATATTTATATATATATATATATGTATATATATATATATATATATATAAATTTTTCATAAATAAATGTTCAAAATAGTTTCAGTGGGAGTTGCTTTGAACCAAAGAAATATTGTTTGTCACACTTCATCATTTAAAAAAGGGGGCAATTATTGAGGACGTTTAATACCTTACAAAAATATTTTGTGTTTACTTGAGTTATCTTTATTTGTCTGTGACAAAAAAGAAGAAATTTAAGGGCAAATATGTTTTTATTTGCCACACATGTTATATGTTTCAATTCTATGATGATTCAGGTAATTTGTATTCCTATAAGGATTTATATATGTGTATAAATGTGGAAAATATATCCAACAAAGAACTAAACAAAATCTAGTGAGGTCATAATGAATTTATTGTATTTTACTTTCTTCCATCATTAATTAAACGAAAGATTTGACTTAATTTGGAAAGACCGAACTTGTAGTTAGAATCAAGAACAGGTTCATTAGAAAAAATGAACCTGTTCATGAAAATTAACTATAATAATAATGATAATACAGACCTTTGGGCACGTAAATAACTTAGAAACATCACAATATGTAGGAGAAAACATAAGTGAGCTTACCCAAATAAATTGGATCCCAAAAATAGACACGGACTTCCCATTTGAGACAATCCCGCTTATCAGGCTCATCCAGCCGAGCGACGAGTGTACTTTCAGTTCTTAAAATCGATCCAAGACACATCGATATTTTTTCATATTTATTTTGAACCACAAAAATCGTTAGTTACTCAAACATATTGGTTTAATTCCATTGAATTTAATGTTCATAACGGTACACCAAAATAACAAACTGAAAAAGCCATTTATGTTCAATACAAAGTAGCTACATTAAGAATATAAAATAATTAGTTGTTCATTTATCAGTCATTTGTGCGCCCACTTTGTTTTACCTTTAAATTAGACCATTTTGAGCAGTCTGCGAACATTTTCCCATTTTGTCCCCATATGTTTCTGAGCGTCTTTTATTCCTGTACCCCGGTCTTTCACCCCACCCCCTATTCTGGAGAGCAATCTGATCTGATCAACACAAGAGCGTTTGTACGAAGAGGGCCGCCCACAACCCTGATGTCGGTAAGTGGCACACGTACCTTTCTATGCACTGAGACGATAAAGAGAATAGGGATGCATGTTGGGCAGAAACGCTAAAAACGATGCTCGGGTTCTGGTGGTGAATCAGCTCCACATTAGTAACAGGACGATGCCAGCATGGTGCAGTCTCGATGCTTTAGAATCAAGGTCGATGTGAAGCGCAGCAGCAGGATAATGGGATGCTTTCAGATGGTTAAACCATTGGAATCGGGATATAGGGAGTCTGTGTCCTTTCTGGGTCTCCTTTATGTGGAGGAAAATCTATATCAGACTGTTTTATCAGCATGTAAAAGGGAGAAAACGCGGCGTGCACTGGAGGGGGGAGCCACAATAACAACCACCCCTGCAGGCTGCGGTACCAGTGGGAGAAATGGCTTTACAAAAATACCAAAAAAACCAACCTCAAGGGCATTGCAGTTACAGGATCCCCCATCATATAGTCTCATTTCTGCTCAGTAATGAGCCTCATTGTTTTAATTGGTAGTTCAGCACCACGGAGAGGTCAGGATTAGGTCTGTGCGCAGGGATTAAGGGGAGGTGTTCATGCGTTTGATGCCGTGATCCCAGTTGCAATAAAATCTGATCAACGCCACTTTGGCTAATTTCAATGTGTGGATTAGACTCAAGCATGAGACAAAAGCCCCAGTTTAAGATGCGCAGGTTTGAGACTGATACAGAGAGGATTGAGGTTCAGATGAGGGTGTGACTTGTTTATCCTGGCCTCAATACAGGCAAAGTCCTGAGTGCTGAATAAATGATAAAGGGGGCCAGAACCATTATAGCGAATAAGATTCGTTTTTTTCTTTACAGTTAAAGTCAAATTCCCCCAAAATGATGGCCTCCATGCTTTAGAAAATGTCAACACGTCTAAAATCTGTGATAATGTAACTACATTTGGTGTTTTTTAACCATTATTCGTGACGAATCTGCTATTGACTTCTTAGTAGTCGATTAATCGTTAACTGTAGTATGAGCATTTAAACAGTGTGACACTTCAGCAGTTTTATATTGTATGGAATTTTTCTAAGTAGGAGATTTTTGGGGGGTAAAATAAAATTTTTAAGCAATAAATAAATAAAAAGGATTTTAGGTTAAATAGTGTGTTAAGGTGATGTTATTACAAAAAGCGTTTTGTTTATTCATAAAACATTTGTTACCGTCTCATGCATTTTAATATAAAAAGAAATTTCCTACTCAAATGAAGTTAATAAAGTGTAATAAACCTAAAGTTGAATTTTAAAGGATAAATGTTTCTTTTATTTGTGAAATAGTATTAAACTGAACTCACACATTTATCACAGATTTATAGCATAATGAATGATAGGACTGCAGCTAACAATTATTTTAATTAACTATAATGGCGATTAATCAATTAATCGGACAAATAAATGGCACGTTCTGTATATTTTTCATTCAATTACTTACAATTTCATATACACTTTGAAAAGAGACAAATAAATAAATAATGTAGTTCATTTTCAACCTGAGAAAGTAAAAAAAAATTTACCCAAAATGTAATAACTTAATTTTTTTCAAATGAAAGTTTGATCATTTGAAGCAAAGGATGTGTCTGCAGCTAAATTAAGAATAGTTCTAACATCTATATATGGAAATTTCTGCCCTTTCTTCTTGACTTAACATCAACACAGTTTAGGGCTAATCTGTTCATTAATTTTAGATAAACCGATTAATGATTGGATTGCAAAAGTTGCTGGATTTTAATAGAATTTGAATAAAGTGAAGCTAAAACAGCCACTTCAGTTTTTGGTAGAACAAATTTACTGACAAATGTATTTATTTTTTCCATTTAAATATAAAATGAATGTATATATTTTAACAATTTTTGCTTCAGAACTGCTCTGACTTTGTTCCTGTAGCAAATTGTCTGTATATGATTAATCAGTTATTAAATTAGTTGATGATTGTTTAAATAATCACGATTAATCTGATTAATTGTTTCAGCCATAAATTAATCCAGCTTGTAATGGAAATGCATCCATGCTTTTTCATTGTCTGCAGGGTTTAGGGTAGTAAAGTTAAAGGGGCCAGTTATGGCTCATGGGAAAAAGCCGGGAAACATGTCCAAAGTCTTGGCCCCGGGCCCTCCGTCGTGCCCCAGTGCCGGGCCTCCAAAACCCAGTCAGGAGGACCAGTCTGTGAGCGAGGAGCCTCAGCGACCTCCCCGTTCTTCTCGGAACGACAACAGCAACCAGCTGACTCCTCCGGCTCCTTCAAAGCACTTTTACATGAACTGCGACCCGAGTCCGGAGGACATGGACGACGCCTGCTCCGAGTACGACAACGTGGGCTCGGACGTCGAGCAAGACTACCACGAGGTTCTGCAGATGAACAGACAGGCAGCCGTCAGCATCAGATGTTACAACCAGCGCGGACCTGAGTGTGCACAGCAAGCTGAGGAGAGCAGCGACGCTCCCACCGCCGACCAGATCACCCAGAAACCTCATCACAGCACCAAGAGATGCGAACGCCCTCACCCCGACGGAAAACCGTACCGAACGGGTCACCGCTTAAAGTCGCATTGTGCCCCCATTGCTGGAGATGAAGCGGAGGGGGGAATGAAAATAATCGAAGGAGACAGATTCTTTTTTAACGACGGCGATGATTTTGAAGAGGTGTTGGATGGAGCCAGATTCATCGAGGATTTAGATGAGGCGGAGGGAAACGCTGAGAGGCCCGCCAGCCTCTATCAGGGCAATGAGAGTGAAAGGATTAAAAAGGAGAGGAATAGAGAAGATGAAACTCACATCCAGAGAAATCATAACGTATCAGGAGCCGGGAAAAAGTCTGAGCCGTCCCAGAGGGGGAAAGAGCGACAGGTTAAAGGTCGAGGAAGAGTAGGAGGCGAAGCGCAGCATGTTGTTTCTGGGATCAAAGCAGCGACAAACAGCAGCACCGAGCAGAATCCAAAGACTTCATGCAAAAAGTCTGCAGTGAGGTCGAAGGATCGACCCGGTTCCAGCAAACACCATCACCCCCCTCCTGCTCCTCCGACGCGTCACGCTCAGTCGCCCTCCGACCCCCAGAGGGCCCTGCCCCTCAGAGAGAGTCCCTCCACTTCTGGACCGCCTGCTGACAACCCGGAGAACGAGTCCAGGCTGGTCAAAGCCTCTCCGGGTCCGCAGCACCCAGCAGAACAGCAGAGCGAGACTGCAGAGGAGAAACCGATGGGTTCTGAGAAACCTGAGCAGGTCAGGAAGCCACACAGTTCCCATCTCACTAGTTTTCACCTCAATGTTTTCCTCCAATCAGCAACTACTTCTCTGTAAAGAAAACATAATTAATCAATCAAGTTGATCTGCATAGCTCATTTCATGTAGCATATCATTAAAAACATAAATAAAACATCCAATAACAGACATTACATTTTGTCAA